CAACTATTACCTACATGGGCATGTGCTACTGCAGGCAGTGGTGGCAGGAGGTGCTCGCCCGGCACCACGAGCACAGTCCTTGTGCCCTCTGGAAGGGTAAATGCCTGGAAGCACAGACTGCAACAGGAGAAAAACCCACCCTGTGATAGGAATTTGTTGCCTCCATCCCCTCCCCAGCAGAGCGTGGGGTCTCTGGGCTGCAGATCATTGCTATCTGTGCACCCCAATGGCTCTTTCCGGGCTGCATCCATGATGCTGAGGCATCGGTGGCCTCACAGCGAGCACTGGAGTGGAACTGTGGAGCTGGAGCAGGGCACAGGCCTGTTTTGGGGTGTAGGATGAGGCTGTGCAGGGTGCGTCACAGGGCAGAGCCCCCCCAACCCTTTGCTAGTGGGCAAATAGAGGATATCTGGGTGGGTTGCACCCAAATGCACCACAGCACTGCTCCAGAAGGATCTGGGCTCTCTCCTTCACCCAGACCCCCCATCCCAAATGGGTAACCACAGCCCAGCCCACCATGTCCAGACCCCCAACTCCCCCCTCGCCAGCCCCATGCAGCACATCAGGTTGGTTGCAAGGGGACTATTTGCCACCAGCTCCTCCGAAGGAAGGCGAGCGCCGGGCAGCCGATCCTCCCCGAGAACACTGCCTCATCCGATCCCTGCGTGCCTGCCACGGGCAGAAACACTGGGGAGCTGCAAGAGACCTCCAGAAACGAATGTACCGCCTGCAGCAGCGCCGGGGCAGCAGCCTGGGGGAAGCGCCTGCCGTGTGTCATGGGAGGAACTGCAGAGGAAAGAGCTGCGTGAGCGCAGAGGGAGCTGCACCGCGGGAGCAGGCTGGGCCATCCCTGCGGCTCCACCGGCTTCGTGCAGCAGCTCAAGTGCTCCAGGACAGGCTCGGGTTGGGACTGGCTCTGCATCCATGGGCGACGCCTCCTCCTCTCCCTCGTCCCGCGGAGGGGATGGTGCTCCCAGCCCAAGGATGCTGTGATGGGATCCCAGATGCGCTCTGCAGCCGAAGTGGCCCCGGGCATCTTGCGCTGTACCTGGAGCAGGGAGCTGCGCTTCATCCCGGCGGGCAGGGAGTGCAGGCAGCAGCTCACGGGCAGGGCGCTGCCGTCTGGGTGCTGGGGCGGCCCCGGCAGCCAGCTGGTCCCTGCTTTGATGTGGAGTCCCTCCGGCTCCGCACAATGCAACCGGCTCGGGCTGCAGACTGCGGCGGGGGTGAAGCAAGCGTGATTGATGGGCTTGTTTTGTTCCTCCACGCCTGCCCCGGACCGTTCACATCTGAGGTCCTCCAAGAGCAAAGGGGGGGACGGCAGCATCCACACAGGCTGCAGGGGTGGTGGTGGTCAGGGGCAATGGGTCCGGGGACCAGGTTTGAGCCCTCTGTGCCTCAGTCTCCCCTCACTCCTGCCCCTTAGGAAGGTGTTGATGCCTGGGTGAAACTTCATGAAACCCATGAAACTACCCCCTGTTGTTCCCAGTCACAGAATGGTTTGGGTTGGAAAGGACCCGAAGATCATCCAGTTCCGACCCCCTGCCATGAGCAGGGGCATCGCACTGGACATCCCCTGACCTAAGGCAGCAAACGGGAGAGCAGGAGCCCCGCCAAGGATGAAACTCGTTGGGACTCGAGGTTTTGACCTCCCAAATATTGCGTCCAGCTCCATGCAGCTGATGAGTCACGGCTGTGTTTGCGCACCGCGCTCCCTGCGAGCAAGGTTTCCACCGCAGAACTAACAGGCTTTTCTGGGAAGCACTGGGGTTCTGCGCTTCCTAATCATTTCAAACCCTACTGGCAGCCTCCCTCCAACAGGGATTATTCCTGCTCGGAGCAGCACTCGAGCGTGTTCGGATCCTGAAAGCGCTAATTGACTTTCCGTTTGGCCTCGCTGCTGGGAGCTTGCTCTTTTCGCAGCCCCGGTCCCTCCTCCTGCTACTGCAGTGAACCCGCCCGCATGTGGTTTGAATTTCTTTCCCAGAGAAAAACCCTCTTTCTCCTGCCTCGGTGTCATCTTTCCCTGGAATTAAATTTGGGAGAAATGAAGAGGAGGCCAAATGCTCATGGAGCGACTGCCTCCCCTCTCAAGGCAGTGGCAGCACCCCAACGCTTGTGAGGGGTGAAGCCCATTCCAGGAGCCACCGATGCTCTGTCCCACCAACGCATGGTGATTTCGGTCAGCCTCAGGTGGCTCCTCACGTGCCAGGAGCCCCAGGCTGCTCAGCAGAGCATGGAGGAAGCTGTCCCAGCTCCAGCTCTCCCTCTCCGCAGTGGGGGATCCCTTCTTTCCATGCGTCTGCGTGTTGGGAATGCGCTGCCTGCACAGAGCGGTGTGGGCAGCCCGGTAGGAAACACCAGGAGGAAACACCTCCAGCATCCAGTGCTGCTCACCCCGGGTGAAGCGGTGCTCGTGGAGTTTCACATCCATGGGGAAGGAGCAGCAGCGAGCTGAGGGGTGATGCTTTCCAACAGCAGCAGCCTGCAGCACCAGGGATTATCCATGGCCCCTCTCTGCCTTCCCTGCCTGCCCCAGGCCATCCAGCATGGCTCGGCACGGCGCTGAGCCGGTTGCCCCGTCCATGCTGGCTGCCATTCCCAGTATGGAGGGTTAGCGGGCTGCCAGCGGGGCGGGCGATTGGGAAATCTGTTTCCTCTTGTGCTCATTACAACACCGCAGTGGGCGCATCCACCGGGAGCAGTGAGGCAGCGGGAAAGTATGAAGGTCAGGGGAGGCTGTGGTTTGCGTGACGGAGGTGACCCCAGCTGAGGCATCCCTCTACCTGCTCCAAGCACCATCGCCCTCCCCTGGGACCTCTCCATGGGATACGTGGCCACACGGATCCTGTTCCTGGGCGAAAGAAGGAGGAAAAGAGCCACGTGCTGCTTCCCCTGTACTCCAATGGGTAGGAGGCTTGGTGCAAGAGCTGGGCACCCATCCCCGTGGACATGTGCAAGGCGCTGGGGCTCTGGTGGCCCTGGGGGCTTCCTCAGCTCCCATAGCATCACTCCTGCTCCGGCTTTGCTCCAGTAGTCCACAAAGAGGACACGGCTGCTCCAACGGCAGCACAAGGTGCCCGGCAGCCGACACGACACTCTTGCCTCACAGAATGAATGAGTTGCAATCCCCACCACCTCCCTAATGACTCGGCCACCGCATCCCAGCCAGGGCTGTGCCCTCCACTGCCTCCCACGTAGCTCGCAGGCCCCTGACTCCCATTGAGGGAGCTGCTTTCATGTGGCCACTGGGTTTCAACACCACCGAGCCACCGGGCGAGCGAGGCGCTGGAACCGGCGGGGAGCAGGCAGTGTGGGCAGTGGGGAGGCAGCTTTGATGCAGCAGCAGCCAGCGCCAGGGCTGCAGGCTCAGGTACAGCAGAGCCCGGCACCCAGGAGAGGCCACGGTGAGGGGATGTGTGGACACATCCTGCCTTACCCCGTGCTGTGCCTTCAGAGGCTCAGGCCAAAATTCACTGCTCTGTGGTCCGGGGCAGTCAGCACAATGTGGGGAAGCGAAGATGAATGAAGGGGTGGTGAGGGCTCAGGACAAGCTGGTGGTTGGATGGGAGCGTGTGGTGATGGGCGAGAGGGTGGGCAGCTTGGGTAGCGGGATGGCAGCAAGCTGGATGGCAAACAGGCTCAGTAAGCGCTTGGCACAGCTTCTGTGTGATTCCTGATGCCTCTCGCCCACGGAGGCTCCCGTGGTCGCCAATCCCAAACATCCACACGCTCCTGCACCTGCAGCAGCCCCGCGGGCAGGAGAAGCCCCTTTGCAGCGCTGGGATGCAGGATTTGGGGCCAGGTCATTCCCCCCCTCCAGGGCCGGGATGTGCCGGGAAAGGGAAACGGGGAACCGTGGATGCCGGCAAAGCTGCAACCGCAGCAGCCGGGAGCGAGCCCTGGGGCGGGCGCCCCGCGTTCCGCTGTGAATCACAAGCTCAGCGCCGGCGGAGCTGGGGCTGCGGCATTTCCTGCTGCTCCCATCGCACATCCCCGTCCGACGCCTCCCGGGCTGAAATCCCGGCCTTGGGAAAGCCAGCGGCACCCGGCGTGCTGCTCCCGGCGTGCTGCTCCCTGCCTGCTGCTCCCTGCCTGCTGCTCCCTGCCTGCTGCTCCCTGCCTCCTGCTCCCTGCCTGCTCATCCCTGCCTGCTCATCCCTGCCTGCTGCTCCCTGCCTGCTCATCCCTGCCTCCTGCTCCCTGCCTCCTGATCCCTGCCTGCTCATCCCTGCCTGCTCATCCCTGCCTCCTGATCCGGGACTGCTCATCCCTGCCTGCTCATCCCTGCCTCCTGATCCGGGACTGCTCATCCCTGCCTGCTCACCCCTGCCTCCTGATCCCTTCCTGCTCATCCCTGCCTGCTGCTCCCTGCCTGCACATCCCTTCCTGCTCATCCCTGCCTGCACATCCCTTCCTGCTCATCCCTGCCTGCTGCTCCCTGCCTGGCTCACTCCGGGTCCCAGCCGCGGCCACCTTCCGTGCTGCCATGGGGCTCTGCCAGGCTGCGGTTCAGCACCAGCGGCTGCTCGAGGGGGGAAACGGGAAGCGCGGCCGTGCGAGTTCATTAATTAACACGTAATGAAGTCAAGACGAGCATCCCCGAGGAGCCGCGTGGGGAAAGCGGCAGACGAGGACGGCGTTACCCAGCCCCAGCGTCCCGCCAGGCCTCTCAGCCTCCGGTGCAGGGAAATGAGCCCCCTTTCAGTGCAATTTAACACGATTTAGGGGTCACAACGCTGCAGCGCAGGGAAAGCAGCGGAAGGGAGGAAACGAACCTATCGCTGGGTGCTTTAGTCCTCATGGTCGCGGGGGGCAGGCTCGCTATGGCCGCACACGCCTTTATAACCTCCAACGCGTTTATAGCTGCGGAGCGAGAGCCGGGGCAGGAGGCAGAGAGCCCGAGCTCCACCGGGGCACCCCCGCTCGGCCCCGGGCCTTGCGCAGCGGACGGGGGCCCTCTAGTGAGGCCCGGCCCGGCCCGGCCCGGCTCCGCCCCGGCCCGCCCCGCTCGCTGCTGCCGCCCGGGCCCGGCGCGGCCATGGCGGGGCTGGAGTTGCTCTACGCCTCGGCCAGAGCCGCCATCTCCAGCCCGCAGGACGCGCTGCTCTGCGGCGTCCACTGGGAGCTGGTCCGGCACGGCTACCGCTGCCTCGGCGCCGGCGACCAGGTAGGGCCGCCCTCCGCTGGGTAGGCCGCGGATGATCCCCGGCCTTTCCTAACGCTGTTCGCCGGCGCCGCGCGGCGGCCGCTGCCGGGGTGGGGGGGGCGTGCGGTGCCGCGGGTGCCGGGAGTACCCGGGCCCCGTGCGGGGTCTGAGGGGCTTCAGTGCTGCTGGGGGCTGAGGGGGTCCCGGTGCTGGAGGTCCTGGAGGTGATGGGGTCAGGGTGGTGCTGGGGCGAGCTTGGTGCTGGGGGGGGAGCCCCATAACCAAAAGGGGGTTCAGTGCAGAGCTGGGGAGGGAATGTGGTACCTGGTGGGGTCCCAGTGCTGGGGGGGGGGGTGGTGTCCACCTGCAGTGTGGTGCAGGGTCCTTGTTGCCTTTTCCTGCTCAGCAAAGGTTGGTTCTGTTCCAGCACAGGGAGGCTGGCAGGAAGGCAGGGCCAGCGCATAGGAAACAAAGGCCTGTTCCTGCTGTTAAAACCTGGTGGGCTCTGAAAGATCCCCTCCTGGATCTCTCTGTGCAGCCAAACCAGACCCTCCCTGCCCTGCCCTGTGCTGGGCGCATGGGCAGGGTCCCAGCAGCTCCTGTGTTCTATTGCAGCCAGGTCCTGATGAAAGGAAGTCGGAGCTGTTGCCCGCTGGCTGGGAAGCCAACAAGGAGCTGTATACCCTGCGCTACAAGTCCACGGACGATGCCCGTGAGCTGCTGCTGAAAGCCATCATGGTGGAGGACAGCATGATCCTCAACGCCATGGTGAGCACCCGCACCGGGCCCTGCGGGTTCGGGCTCCTTGGGGAGCAGCGGCTGCAAACAACAGCAGGGTCTGTTCCCGTCATTGTTATTTGCTGTCCCTTGCAGTGGTGTTTGTCCCTTGGGAGGGAGCAGACGCACAGGGTGTTAGGGCTTGATGGTGCAGCAGCGGACGTGGCGCAGTGTGATGCTGGTCAGGCACATCAGGGCAGCGATGCGGTTTGCCTTGCCCAGGAGCTGCTCCTTTTCTGCCCCTTTCCCAGCCCAGGACTCATTCCCAGCTCTGCCAAGCTGCTGACTCTGTGCTTTCCCTGTCTTTTGCTAGGACAAAGGTTCTCAGAAGGTGGCAGATGTGACCTTGGCGGTGGCCGACTACATCGACCCAGAGCACCTGGAGGATTTCCACAGGTAATCTCCCTTCCCTGGTACTGTCTGCAGGAGAAAAGTCCCACAGCGTGGGGAGGGGGGGCAGAGGTAGGGTTAGGAGGAGCCTGGAGGGCTTCTCTCCCCAGTACAAACCCAGGGGCAGGCTGGCCAGCCCTGCAGTGCAGCCAGAGCTCCTTCACTGCCTCCCTCTGTGCTGCTGGCAGGGACAGTGGGACCATGGGCCAGCCCAGCCCAGCTCTTTTGTTTCCGGAGCACTACCAAGCTGTCCTGCCTCCTCCCTGCAGGGTGTACAGGAACACGGAGGAGCTGAGGACAAGGATTGCTTCGGGCATCATCGCTCCCCTCGGGGCCCCCGCAGAAAAGGCCAAGAAGGAGCCTGAGAAGAAGGATCCTGACTCACCGCGGGGTTACGACCCCCTCAGGATCCCTCCCCATCGCCCAGCAGGAATGAGAGCCCCGACCCGGTGAGTGAGGCTGCTGATGGTCCTGTGTTAGGTGGGACATGGTCCTGGCGCAGCTCTGCAGGCCGCCCCTCCGCTCTCTGTTCTGCACATGTGGGGTGAGGAGCATCCAGCTGTTTTCAGCCTTGTTGGCTGAATGCTCCCCCCGCAAGTTGTAGTGAAGTCACAGACACTGGGGTGGCTCTGCCATCTCCTGGGGACCATCCATGGCTTCTTCCTTGCGTGTCACCTCCTGCTGCTTTAACCCCAGTGCTGTGTGCTGGTTCTCAGGGTGCGGGATGCTGCTTGGGGGGAGGCCTGGGCAGACAGGCTGGAGCTGGGTACGGCTCTGAAACCACAGTATTGGCACATAGGATTGGCAAGGCGAGGTGACAGCTGGCTGCAGGCTCACTGCCCGCTGGCCTCGCGCTCCTGGAAGCAGGACTGGCATTGTGCTTCCAGATGGGATGAGCTGGAGAGCCTGACCTCGGCGCAGCCCAGCCCGGGGAGCCCCTGGCGTGGAAATTCCCAGTGTCCACAGACAGCTGCAGCCTGGAGAAGTGGGAACAGCAGGGCCCCTTCAGCTCAAGCTTCCCACAAGCCTGCCACGCACACCCAGCTGCACCCTGGAGCAGGGAATGCTGTGTCCAGGGCGCGGGGTGGCTCCCAGCGCCTGCTCACGCAGGGTCTTGCTGGTTCCAGTCCCTCCACTAAAGGTCTTGTTGTGTTCTGTGTTTCAGGCCTTCCCCCTTGAGCCCCTTTGCTGTTGGTGGGGAAGATCTGGACCCTTTAGGGTGAGTATGGTTGGGTGAGGTTGTGCTTTGGGTGCCTGGGGAGCTCTGCCCTTGGGGTTTGGAGCCCTCTGGCACAGCTGAAGTCCGCCTGGCTCAGGCATCTGGTGAATTGTCTCTTCAGTGCAGATGGTGATGGGGCAGTTGCTGAGTACAAATTGCAAGGGACCAATTGACGGTTGCTAAAGCTCAATATGGTTCTAATATCGTAATAAGATCCCGTCCCTTGCATGCATGATAGGTTGCAGTCTGTGTCTGTTTAATAATCAGCTTGTATTCATTTAACACGCAGTAATTCCTCCAGTAAATCAAAGCTGAATGCATCATTAAGGGAATGTAAGCCCCTAATTTAAAATGGTACCAGCTGCTGTGTCTACAGCCCAGCAGTCTGGAGAAGGGGAGGCTTAAAGCTGAGCCCACAGGTCCTGATTGTGAGCCTCCTGGCTCTCTGAGGCACTGCACTTCACAGACACATCCCTCAGTCTCTGGTTTGCTCAGGCAAGGAGAGCCTCTCATCTTCCATTCCAGTTAAAAGCACAGAAGCCAGACAAAAAGACAGCCCTTGGAGTTGCTGCAGTGTGTCCCATGGCCCAGGGGTGTCCTTGGAACCCCTCTCCTGTGGGAATGGCATTTTTCCCCTCTTGCAAGACTTGGTTTTCCATGGGTTTGGCTGGGAAGAGCCAGCTGAAAACATCCTGCCTGGAAGGAGAGGCCTGGAGCCTGGGTGGCTGCAGGGAAACCTGAGAGCACAGGGAGGGGGGGTCGGGGGGTGTTTCCCTGCTTCTCTCGCTGCCTCCAGCCCCTCCTCAGAAGTTTTGGTGTAAATAGAAGCAGATTTGGGCACTGGCACCTGCCAGCGCCGCGCTGGAGACCCAGACTGCAGGCAGAGGCTGGTGGGGCCGGGCTGGCCCGGGGGTGCTCTGGGCAGCCAGCCTGGCCTAATGGAACTCATTAGCACCATTGTTAATGACTTGTATGATGGCAGCGGCGTCCAGAGGCTCCAGCTGAGCTTGCACAAAGCCAGCCGTGAGGAATGGCACTCCCAGCATGGGGCAGCTCCGAGCAGACACCGTGGGCAGCAAATGACTTCCAGGCAGCGCTTTGGAGGAGCCCTGGCTCTTGCGACACCGAGCAGGGCAGGATGCGCTGCTCCCCCTGGAGAGCAGAGCGGGCACGGGCACGGGCACATGGGCCAGCAGCAAGGCCTGCAGGGCCGGCACTTCCCATAGGGAACGGTCAGCAGTTCCCCGGGACTCTCCAGCCGTTGCTGATGCCCCAGATGGTTCCTTGCAGGAACTGGGGGGGGAGAGGGAAGCTACCTCACTGCTTCTCTGAGTGTTTTGGCATTGGCTGTGAGGGCTGTTGTTGGCATCTGGGCTTTGGGGTACTCCGGCACCATGGACCTGGGTGTTTGGTGGTACCTTGGCTTGGGTACACGCTCTGCAGACAGACTCCCAGCTTAGTGTGATGATGATGATGATGAGGATTTGCATCCTGCCACTGTCCCAGTGTTGTGGTGTTGTGCAGGCGCATCTGCAAGGCTGTGATAACCCCGGGCAGGAGCAGGGTAGGATGTATTTAGGTCCATGCCTGTCACAGACAGCAGCCTCTGTGGCCCTTGTTGCAGTGGGTTAGGGCTGTTTTCCTTCCCACATGCCATGTGTCAGCTTAACCCCGTGTTGCTGTGCTCAGCATTCCTGCAGCAGAGCTTTGGCACAGGGACACGCTTTGCTCCTATCTCACCGGTGCCCATCTCATCTCTTTCTCTGCCTTTCCTCTCCCCAGACGTCAGAGTGGGGGAATGATCATGGATCCTCTCCGGTCTGGCTTCCCACAGCCCGGCATTGACCCATCATCAGGCATCCCAGGCCGGCTCCCCCCAGGGGCAGTCCCACCCGGAGCCAGATTCGATCCCTTCGGCCCGTTAGGGGCTGGCAGATCCGGGTAGGTACTTGGCTATGCCTGGCATCCCCATCCTGCTCTCTGGGCTGCCCTGGAGCTCCTGGCTCATCCCTGGTGCTGTGGGACCAAGCTCTCACTCTGCTCTGCATTTCTTTCCAGACCAGATCCCGACCACCTTCCCCCTCCAGGCTATGATGACATGTTCATGTGAGGGGTCACCCCTTGGCTCCTCATGGCCGTGGCCAGAGCAGGCTCCTGGGAGGCCGGGGCACTTCCTCCAACTCGCTCCCTGTTTGGTGGATCTTCTCAGCAGCGTTTCCCTTCTCCCCATTTGGAGCTACATTCCCGTGTGTCAGAGCAGCCATAAAGGTTTCCCTGTGTGCAGAACAGAGGAGGAGGCAGTAGATCCATTGCTTTCCCTGCTCCTCACAGGGTGTCCAGCTGAAGCAGTGCTGCCAGCGCTGGGTGCAGTGCTTGAGAAGGGCCTGGGTGCTGTGGGGCTTCTGCTGCTGCTCCTCTGGGGGGGCACTGCTTTTGCTGCTGTGAGTCAGTGCTGAGGGGGGAGCTGGCTTCTTGCTCTGGGGGAGCTGCAGTGGCTTTGCTGAAGGTGGGTTCTCCATGCAGAGATGGTTTCTCTCTTGCTCTATCCAAGTGAAAGGTAAAGCCTGAGCCGTGGGGCTGAGATCAGCTTCCATGTGGCCATGCCCACAGGTTTCAAAAGAACAAAGCCTTTAGTGTACATGAGAGGAGATAGAATTCCTGGCCCAGAATTGCTCCCTCTCCCCCTACAGCCATGTTTTCCATTCCTGGCATGCAGGTGAAGCCCCCACTGGGCACCACACAGGGCTGGGATAGGAGCAGGAGTGCTCGGTACCCACACAAGTGGCCAGACCCAGTGCTGGTTCTCTTGGCACAGCAGAGCTGAGCCCAGCATCGGGCTGGGTTCTTGCTGGCAACACACCCAGGGGCTCGCTCAGCTGCAGGATTTGCTTTGCAGAAGAGGTTTTAGAGACCATTTCCTCACCAGCAGTCCCATCGTGAGGGGCTGGTGCAGCTCTGCCTGGCTGAGCTCTGCCAGGCAGCTCGTGCAGAAGGGGGGAGCTCTGGGAGGCTCAGGCTCCTCCATGTAGAACCCTCCCCCAGGTCAGCTCAGTTTGGGGCTGCAGCCCTCGGGTTCATGCAGTTTCTTGTGTTTGATCTCTTGTAAGGATGCTCATGAGGCAGAAATAAAAAGCACCAATACACGTGTCAGCTTGTCCCAGTGCTGTGCCCAGCCTGGGCCTGCCCTCCCAGCAGGTTGGGAACCTGCTTTGTGCCTCCCCCTGAGCAGCAGAGCTTTGCCAGGGTGATGTGACTGTGTGAAGAATACAAACTGGAGCCCAGCCCAGCCCAGCCTTGGCTCTGCTGAGCTCCGTGTGGTACCTGCCTCTCTGGGGTGTTGGATGCTGTCACACGCTGTGCTCGGCCGTGCTGGCAGGGATAGAAGGGGAAGTGATCCCTTTGTTGGTCTCTTCTCTTCCCAAAGGCATTTTCCCTTTTACAACCCCTTTGCCTACAAATGCAGCTTCTAAAGCTGTTAATGGCGTGTGCAGCCCTGGGCTGGGCACAGGAGCAGGGAGGACGGGCTGTAGAAATAAGGCACTGAGGGACGCTGGAGCATCCCTTGCATCTACCCAGGGCTTGTGCATGGACCCCTGTTCACAGAAGCTGGTTTTGAGCCCAGTCCCGGCCCTGCTGCACATCCTTGGGGTCTTCAGTGCCCAGCTCAACCCACAGATGGGCAGCAGGCAATGCCCATGACCAGAGCTTGGGTGGGAATGGAAGAGAGACCCAGTGCTCGCTGAGGGCATCGCTCCTGCACATCCCCTCTGGCGTGTGGGGCAGCCTGACCCATCCGATGCTTTGCCCACCCCCAACCTCGTTCAGAGAGGCTTGGGGCGAGGAAACAGCTTTGGCCTTATCAGGGGGCTCCTCTCAGCAGGAGGCGGCTGCTCTCTGCCTGCATTCATCATGTTCTGCCACCTCTGAGGCGGCAGCGGCTCTGATGGGGCCAATTAGAGCAGGCAGAGCGGGGAGCGGCTGCACGGGGCTGATAAACAGCCCTTTGTCTGCAGCCTCGGCCCCAGCGGGGCCCTGATGTGCAGCTGCGGGGCCAGGTGGGGAAGGAGAGGGGCTTCGAGGGGGTAAGTGCCTGGCATTGAGCTGAGCTTGGCATTGAGCTGTGCCCGCTCCAGTGCCTGAGCCTCAGGGCTCCCAGTGCTGCTGCATCCGCTCTCAGGAGAGGGTGGATGTAAGGAGGTGAGGATCCTGCTCTCTGGACCAGAGGGCAGTGGGAACAAGACTGTCCCTGCAACTGGCTCAGCTCACACCAAAAGGCCACTGTGGAGCTGCCCAGAGCATGGCAGAGGTGGCTCTTAGGAGCCCTTGATCCCAAACTAGTTCCTTGCTCCGTTGCAGGGCTGGACACAGACTTCATTCCCCTGCTGTAGGCTCGTACCGTGATGGCTGCAAGGGCCCCATATCCTGGCAGCAGCAGGGACCCTGGCACGGCTGCTGCTAACCCAAGTGGCAGCGGCATTAGCATGCAGGGGAGCACATCCAGCAGCACACACCTCCAGTTATTACTATGGGGAGCACGAGGAGCGGCTGGGGCTGTGTGTGTGCTCCTGGCACAGGCACAAGCCTCCCTCCTCCCGCAGCCCCGGAGAGGCACTTCCAATGTCACGTTTGAAGAAAGACATTGGATTATTGGGAATGGCTTGGGATCCCCGGAGAGCCCTTCAGGCCATCTGCCAGCCCGGCCCGGCGCTCCCAACCGCAGAGCCCTGGAGCTGCTCATTGCCCACAGATGATGCTCCATCCCCGGGATCCTGTGTACCGGAACTGTGTGGATTGCACAGATGGAAAACAAAGCAGCTCCCATTGTACGGGACTGGGAAAGGCGCTGGGATGTTCCCTCTTTGCTCACCAGGGCACAAGCAGAGATACCCCAAACCCCTGGAGCTGAGTGGGGGGACAAGGATATGCTGCGGCCACCCGCCTGCCCTTGTGCTGTACCCCATGGCTGGTGCAGTGGCATTGCCAGCCTGGTGCCTCTCACTGTGGCCATGCTGCCCATCCCCATGGTGTCAGGGTGACCTGTGCCTGCTCTTCCCCAGGGCCCTTCCTGCCTCCTCTGGCAAAACCAGCTTCTCCCAGAGGATCCTGAAGTGGCAAGTATGGGGTTGAGGCACTGTCCCATCAGGGACACTTCTGGGGTACCTTGGAGCTGCCTCTGATGCACCCACCTTATTCCATGGGTGGGTGCAGCCCCGGATGCCCCCGCACTGAGAGGCTGGTGATCCTCATCCCACCCAGGCTGTGCAGCATCAACCTGCTTTTCCCAGCTGGATTTTTCCCACCATCCTGGAGTATATGTGATTGCTTCCTAAATACCCCCCATGCACATGAACCATCACGGGGCAGTGCCTCAAGCTGACTACACTGCTCTTCCCCAGCCACAAAGGGCTGGCCAGGCCAGTGCAGGGAGGATGCACATCACAGCATCCGTGTCACACCACCGCAGCCACCCTCCCATTCATCCCGGGGGATCTCTCTGCAAAATCACGTCCCAGTTCTGGAGTCTTGATGGGGAACTTCTTTAATGGCACTCCTCGACACAGCTCATTCCCCTTAAACACATCTCCGTCAGCCCAGAGGCTTCCCCCAGGCCTGCAGCTCCTCGAGGGACAGCGCAGCGATGGCAGCTCCCTCCCGCAGCGTGTCCTGAGCGGCCTCCTGCTCTGATCCCTGGGAGCATCTCTTGTGCTCAGCAGCTGTAACCTCTGCCGAGGCTCAGCCTTGCCCCCTGCAGAGACCCTAACACCTTACATGAAGTGACAACATTGAGGGTTTCTCCATCTAACGGCTTTATTGTCTACTCCAGGCTCACAAGAGAGGTGCAGGAGGGAGTTCTGCCTTCCCAGGGCAGCCTCCTGCTGAACACAGGGCTCCCTGGGCAGACTCTGCACAAGAGCCTTCCTCCCCTTCCTCTCCTTCATCCCCTTCCTCACTCCTGTGTCCCCATGCCCCAGGATCACCCCTTAGTGACAACCACGATGGCCTTTGCTCCCCCTGCTCTGCTTGGGCTCTTTATTCGATGCTCCAGGGTCTGCTCAAGGGTCCATGGGGAAAGGGGAACACTGGAGCACAGCCACCCACATCTCACCCCATGCGTGCCTTAATCCCAGGGAAAGGTGCCTGGGTGCCAGGGCTGCGGGCGTGAGGCTGAGACGGTTTTGCAGGACCCCCCAATAAATGAGGAGCATGGATGGGTGATGTGATGGGGAGAGGGATGTGGGGCCCTTCACTGCAACAGGAGGAATCAGATGTGAAAACATGGGGCAGAGAATGATCCCCCTGACGTAAACCTGGCCCAGACAATTGCACCGCACATAACAGCACCTTTCCCCTCGTGTTGGGCTGCTGGAGAGGTTTGTCTCCACCTGGAAACGTTTGAAGTGAGTAATCTATGGGCTGGATGAAACCCGCGGCTCAGGACAGACACCCCCTTTCGCGGGCCTGCATTTCCTATGGGATAATCATTTCCCTTTCACAGCAACCCGCTCGGGCTGATTTTGCTTTCCACAGAACATTGTGCTTTAATGATGCTTCATGTTTAATTCCCGAGATGCATTTTCCCCTTCACGCTGCAGACAATGGCCCTTGTGATCGGCACAAAGGCTCCTGAATGGGAACAGAACCACCACATCGCTTCCAGGCAGTGGGAATTGTCCTCTCTCCCCCAGGCAGAGCGCTGTGATTTTGAGGAGGCCGTCCTGGGGCTGCTGGTGGGAGTGGGATGCTGGGCACGGTGTGTCTGTGTGTCCTGGCCTTCATCCCACCCTCCGGAATGGGAGGGTGATGGGGTGCTGGTGGTCGCACTTGCTGCCTCCTCTTCTCCTGCCCAGCGCGGTGCAAGCGCCAAATCCACACCACAGAGTTCACAGGAAACTATTGCTAAAAAAGGTCACTGATGGCGGAAAATGGGAAGCTCCATCCCAGAGAGGAGCAGCCAGCGCTGCCCTGGATGCCGGGAAGGAGCCACCTGCGGCTCTGGCTTTGTGTCCAGCCCGTGACCAGCCACGGCACTGAAATCCCACAGGTATCTCGCAGGTGCCGTTGTGCCGATGCTGGTGAGCAGGACCCCATCCAGGAAGGTGCTGGGGAGGCGAGTGGGGTGTCCAAAGGCCACATTGCCAGTGCTGGTGGTGGGGCCATGCACCCAAAACCGCATCGCTCCGATGCTGCCAAGGGGATCCCCGTCCAAGGAGGGTCCGGGAGGTGAGGAAGGCGGCCGGGTGCGGGTGAAGCCTCACCGGACGGCATCGGGGTCGGGGAGCCCCGCTCCTGCCTGCGGCTGGGGGTCCCCGGGGAGCGCCGGGTGCTAAGAGCCCGGCCCCTCGGGGGGCTGCTGCGCGGGGCTGAGCTGTGTCTCCAGCAGCGCCCGCGTCCCCTCGGCCGACACCCGCCGCAGCCGCAGCCGCACGGAGCCGTAGGTGCCCCCGGTGCGACGGGCGGCCCGTGCGCGGCGGCGGGCGGCGGCGGCGGCCAGCAGCAGGGCTGCGAGCAGCAGCCCCCCCAGCGCCAGCAGCGCCAGCCCGGCCACGGTGCAGCGGTCGAGGCGGGCCCGCAGCCGCGCCGCCCGCTCCTCCAGCCGCTCCATCTGCCGCGCCGGTACCGCCGGGTCCGGCCGCGCCGCCCGCGGCACGGCCCCCGCCAGCACCACCAGCGCCGCGCCGCCCAGCGCGCAGCACAGAGCCAGCGCCAGCCCCGGGCCCGCCGGGCCCCCCCCCGCCGCCGCCGCCGCCGCCTCGCCCGGGCTCCGCAGCTCCGCCGCCCGCGGGGCCGCCATGGAGCCGCCGCCGGCCTGCGCGGGCTGAGGTGAGCGGCGGAGCCGCACCGCGATGCTCCTCGGAGCCGGCTGCAAACCGACTCCCGGCCCGCGTTGTTCCCCCCCCCCTTCCCCCCGGGACCCCGCTCCCCCCCCCGGAACCGGAGCCGGGACACCAGACCCGGCTGCCAACCCACCCGCGGGTCCCCAAACGGCGCTGCCCACCGGATACGGGTCCCTGCTCGCCGCACCCGGGTCTCAGCACCGCGCTGCTCCCCTTCTCTGGACCCGGCACCTGCCTCCCCGAACCGGATCGTCCCTCCCTCGGTCTCTCCCTCCCCGAACCGGGCTCCCACCGAGCAGCCCACCGCCCCGAACCGGGCACCCCGTGTCCCTGGGACCCGCTTCCCTCCTCGCCGGTTGCCCGGAGCGCTCCCAACCTCCCCGGTACCCGCACCCGCCGCTCCCCGCACCGAGCCCCGCTCCCGCTCCTCCGGTCCCGCCTGGCTCTGCCCTCCCCGCCGGTGCCCCCCCCCGCCCCGTGCCGGGCTGCCTACCCCCGGTGCCGGCGCCGCCGGTGCCCCGAGCTGCCGGTCCCCAGGGCTCGCTCCGCCGCCGCCCGCACACGCACACACACACACACACACGTACAACGGGCTGCCCCGGGGGGCACTCACACACACACACGCCCGCGGTACCGGCACCGGCTGTGCACACCCTGCCCGCGACAAAGGCACCCCCCGACAGCACCGGGACCCTCCGTGGGGTCCTCGGGGTGGGGGGGATGCGTGGGGAGGGCACGGATGGAGGGGATGGAGCAGCAAGGTGGGCTTTGCATAGGGGAGACCATGGGATGCTCCCAGTGGTGCTGGGTCGGCGCTCCACGACCAGCTGTCCCCACTGGGGACCAAGGGCAGAGCTGGGGACACTGGGACCGTGTCCTGAGCTCCCCCAGCCCTGAATGCAGCAGGGAGAGGTCCAGCCCAGCCAGGAGTCCCTTCAAGGAGCCAGCCTGCCCCAAATCCCTGGGGATCCAGGGCTTGACCTGGGCTTGGACTGTGCATGAGACACTCCAGAGCAGCCCATGGAGGTGCTGGCTGCCCAGAGCCATCCCCACTGTCCCACCATAGTCCCACAGCACAGAGCCCCCATCACCCCACCTCTCACCAACACTGTTTATTCCATTTCTCACACAGCACCGGTGTTGGTACCCGCGGCTCCCAACCCACACCGGACCCAGCCCAAGCCCCACAGCACCCGCTGGCAGCAGCACGTTCTGAGCTGGTTTGTTACCAGGACGTGCTATTCCCACCTTTGGAGCGGTGCCTGCAGATGGTAGATGTAAACCCTGAGAGATTGCTGCTGAGAGCTGTCAGGAAGATTTGTCCATCACATTGACGGCCCCTTCAGCACATTCAGGAGCCTACAGCGCCTTCACAAGCTCACCCGCTATTACCTGGGGTGATGCTGGTGCTGGGTGATGAGCTCGGGGTGCAGGGGGGACCAACCCTCAATGCCTCCAGTCCCTGCACTGCAGCAGGGTAGGGGGCTGTGGGGTGGGCTGGGGTCTCCCATCGCCTTGTGCCATGGCAGGGCAGGGATACACGGGATTTGGTTAGTTCTGAACTTGGCAGCGCAGGCTGTGTGTGCTGCTCCCATCCCCTCCCGCTGCCCTGGGTGGAAAGGCGGATGCTTCCCAGCACAGCATCCCTAGGGATGCATCCAGAAGTGGGCCGAGAAAAAAGCAGAATTAAAAATAACTGTGAGTGCATCCCGACACGTTAACCACATTCCGAGATGCTTTGGTGCCAGCCCACTCCGCGGGAAGGCAGGAGATGCTTGCAGACAAGTAGGTCACGGGACACAGATTGTCCCAAATCAGCAGGAAAAGATGGATCTGGAGCAGGCGGGCACATGCATGTGAACACAGAGTGTGCCGGCACTGGGACTACCTATGGCATCACCAAAACCCCTGGGAACAAGAGGAACCCTGCTTAGGGGGCTGTTCCTGCATCCTGATCCCACTTGAGAGGATGCCTGCGATGGATGAAGTGAAGGGATGCATCCTACACATGTTGTTGCCTCTGGGTCCCACATGGGAGAGGGGTGATGACCTCCATCCCAAAGCTTTCCCCAGCCCATTCCTGATCCGGCTGGGGGCTGGCAAAGGCTGCTCCACCCCCAGGGCTCTGGCACGGAGGGAAGGAGAGATGGAGACAACCAAGATTTATGCTGCCAGTGCAGGAGCAAAGAGGAGGGAGAGAGCCAAGGTCAGAGACAGTGCTGCCAAAATTCACAATGAATCTGCAGGAGCCCTGGAGGGGAGAGACTGAGGGCTTGGAAAGACATGGGAACAGGACAGAGGGAGGGAGCCTGGGAAATGGAGCAGTGTGGGGCTGCTGTGCCACTGCTTGGCCAAAAGGATTAAATGGGGATGTGAGAGCCAGCAAATGGGAGCCTCCTACTATGTAAGGACAGTGGGAGCAGGAATGGAAGGGCTCTGGATGTGGCTCCATCCCTTCAGGCCCCTCCAGCGCACCCCTATGCAGCACAGCGCAGTTCTGGGGTGTACACGGCTGCTGGTGGTGGTGACCCCGATCCAGCCCCACCATGGGGTGAGGTCTCATTCCTGCCTCCTCAGCACTCACAGCATCCCAAGCAGAGCGAACGCCCGCAGCCAGCACGGCTCAAGGTGACTCAGAGGTCGGGAGCAAGCAGCGGGCAATGCGGGAGCCAGGACCGGAGGGGGCACGGGCAGGCAGTGAGGACCGGAGGGGGCACGGGCAGGCAGTGAGGACCGGAGGGGACACGGGAAGGCACTGAGGACCGGAGGGGGCACGGGAAGGCAGTGAGGACCGGAGGAGCCGGGCTCATTGTGACCTCCCCTCCTGACACTGCTGGTCCCTGCTTGCCTCCCGCTGATCCCAGCTGCAGCTGCCCTGGGAGCAGGCTCAAATCTTCCCTGGTGCTAATTGGGATCTGGTTATCATCACCTAACACCAGCCCGCTGGGAGAAGCCCAGTGCCTCTCGGTACAGCAGCAGTAGCTGCTGCTGCGCTGTGGCTCGGGAGCACCGGGATCCTCACTGCTCTGCCTGAATGGAAAACAAAGCGCAGAGGGGTGAGGAGCCGGTGATGCTCTGGCTGGTGCCATGTAAGTGTGCAGACAGGCTCAGCGGTGGCTGTGACTGATGCAGGCGGGTGGCCGCGCACCTTCACCCTCCTCCCTCTGCACAGAATCGGGTCCGAAGCTCTTCTATTTCCTTTTTTTTTCCTTCCGCAAGCGTGCCTGGAGCCTCTCGGGAGCTGCTCACCCGCAGGGACGGAGTTGGGGTGGTGCTTCCCAAGGGAGCCTTTGAAAGCGCAAGGGGGAAAGAGGCTGGGAGGAGGAAAAAGAGGAGGAAGAGGGTGAAAAAGAGGGAGTGGTGGTGGAGAAGGGAAAAGAGGAGGAGGGAAAGGGTGGAATTGAAGATGGAGGAGGAAAAGGAGGTGGAGGAGGCGATGCAGGTGCCGGTGCTAACTCAGGTGCCCTTCGCTCCCAAGGAGGCGAGCAGCACCCCGCTCCCGCCGATGGGTGCGCGCTCCCTGTGACCGGCAGCGGGAGCGGGGCTCGTTCCCAGCAGCGTTCCCCTGGGAGCGCCGCCGGGGCCGGGGCTGTGACGAGGCGGGCGCCGTGGAGCGGCTCCGGTTGGGTCCGGGCGCACGGAGCGGGTCCCCGGGAGGGTCCCGTCCCCCGCCCCGCTCCCAGGGCGCGCTCCCGCCGCAGGGCGCGTTTTAACCCCCCCCCCCGCTGCCTGGTTTTGGCGAGAGCGCGCAGGAGCCCCTCAGGCCTGAGGAGGGGCGGACACGGCGGACCCTCAGCACCCATAAACCCACCCCAAACCCCCCGGTACCCGCTGGGTCCCCTCAGTGCCCATAAACCCACCCCAATCCCCCCCCCGGCACCCGTTGGGTCCCCTCAGCACCCATAAACCCACCCCCAACCCCCCCGGTACCCGTTGGGTCCCCTCAGCGCCCATAAACCCACCCCCAACCCCCCCCCCCCGGCACCCGTTGGGTCCCCTCAGCACCCATAAACCCACCCCAACCCCCCCGGTACCCGTTGGGTCCCCTCAGCACCCATAAACCCACCCCAACCCCCCCGGTACCCGTTGGGTCCCCTCAGTGCCCATAAACCAATCCCCCCCCCCCCCCGGTACCCGTTGGGTCCCCTCAGCGCCCATAAACCAACCCCCCCCCCCCCCGGCACCCGTTGGGTCCCCTCAGCGCCCATAAACCCACCCCCAACCCTTTGTGCCCGCTGGGTCCCCTCAGGTCCCCTCCATTTCCTCAGTGCCCGGTGAGCTCCCTCCATCCCCTCAGGATCCGCTGCCCCATTCCCTCAGAACCCGCCCGTCCCCATCCCCTCAGATACCCCCCCCCCCAATCCCCTCAGGATCCCACCAAATCCCCCCCTTGTCCTGATAAATCTCTCCCATCCCCTCACCCCCCCCTTAGATCCCCATTGTCCCCTCAGCACGCAGCTGAGGTGACCTCCGTCCCTCAGGGCCTGCTGAACCCCCTCATCCCCTCAGGGCCTGGCTGGATCCCCCCCATCTCCTCAGGATCCCATCAAACCCCCTTGCCCTGGCCTTTAGGATCCCCCCAAACCCCCCTCAGTGTCCCATTAAATCCCCTCTGTGGCCGCGGCAGGGGCTGCCCTCAGCCCGGGCGCCATGTTCTACATGCACTTGCTGGTGAACAAGCGCGGGCCCTTGGCCAAGATCTGGCTGGCGGCGCACTGGGAGAAGAAGCTCACCAAAGCTCACATCTTTGAGTGCAACCTGGAGGCTACTGTGGAGAAGATCCTCTCGCCAAAGGTGGGGCTGGTCGACCCGGGAAGCTGTGGGGCAGAGGGGTCCATCTGCCGAGGGAGCGGGGCTCGTCACCTCAGGGTGAACCCGTGGCTGTTCCGAAGCCAGCGTGAGGGAAACTGGGGGTGTTTTGTTTAGCTCTCGTTCGAATAAACCCCTGTGACAGGGCAGATATGTGAATAGTGATGGTGCAGCATAGGATCAGGGAATGGTTTGGGTTGGAAAGGACCTGAAGATCATCCAGTTCCAACCCCCTGCCATGGGCAGGGACACCTCACACTAAACCATGGCACCCAAGGCTCTGTCCAACCTGGCCTTGAACACTGCCAGGGATGGAGCATTCACAACCTCCCTGGGCAACCCATTCCAGTGCCTCAGCACCCTCACAGGAAAGAATTTCCTCCTTAGATCCAATCTGAACTTCCCCTGTTTCAGTTTGAACCCGTTACCCCTTGTCCTGTCACTGCAGTCCCTAATGAAGAGTCCCTCCCCAGCATCCCTATAGGCCCCCTTCAGATACTGGAAGGCTGCTCTGAGGTCTCCACGCAGCTTCTCTTCTCCAGGCTGAACAGCCCCAACTTCCTCAGCCTGTCTCCATACAGGAGGTGCTCCAGCCCCTGAGCATCCTCGTGACTGTATGGCAGCTCTGTGAACATTGAGGCTGCAGTAATGCAGTTATGTGAATATTGAAGTGCAGTCACCTTCCTGGAGGGCTGTGGCACACATTTAATGTGCAGCGTAAGCCAGGGTTACCGCGGTGCATTCAGATGGGCTTCTTCACACAGGGACAGAGCTCCGGGGCCTGCTCTGTGGGCACCAGGGCTGAGGGGTGTGAGGCAGCACAAGCCCATCACTGCAGTGTGGTAGCCACGTGTAGGACAGCACTTGGGAATGGTGGTGTTTGTGCCTCAGAAAGATGGAGGAGTCGGGTGCTGGTTCATAGCAGGGGGCTCATAAAGAGCCGTGACATGGTTCAGGGCCCTTTGAGCAGAATGAGTCTGCTGATCTTGTCAAAAGTCATTTATTATTTCTCATAACCACTTTCAGTGGACTTCTTCCAGGTCCCCCATTATAAGCAGGTAAGTACATAATTCAGCATACATAGTGCTTATGAGAGGCCCTATGACCCATCCAAGAGGCTGAAGTCCTCCCCACCTCCCAGATAAGGTGTGACTCAAGCAAACAGATGCAGGTAATCGAGGACCTGTGACTCAGCCCTCAGCCTCTCCATTGCAACCACATCCAAGGGAATGGTGAGGAATGCTTTGCATGGTCACCAGTCAATGGCCCAGGAGATCCAAAGCTTTCAGCTGGTGCAAGCAGACTTTTATTGTTATGTTTTCCCCTATGAAAACAGCTGCTCGATATCTGGCAGCCTGAATCCCACTGTCCTGCATGGGTTACCATTAACGGAGTGCTGTTAAATTGATATTATATGGAAGTGTTTTCCAAGAGGTATTAGAGGAATGGCCCCTATTTTCCCTTGTCCTGCCTCACAGCAGCACCACCACCCTGAGTGCGCTTGATGCAGGGCATATTATGGCCTTTATTTGCATAAATAAGGGCATAGGTATGGTGTCTGCTCAGTTAAATAACCCAAGTGTCAAATACTGGTTTGTGCGCAGCTGCTTGTTGTCTCGGGGTGTGTTACACTCTTTGTTGGCAATTAGTTGAGATGATTTAGATAAAGGAAGAGCTTCAGTTCAGGCCTCACGCTCTGGCACAGCAACCTTTAGCAACAGAGGCAGCTAGAGGTTTCCAGGCTCTGTTTATGATCCTCTACATCAGCACAAAGCCTTGTTGAATTTCAGAGCTCTGTACTGGTGTCTGATACTGGAACTCTGTCACTGCTGTGTCACAGCTCCATTTGAATGGGAAAACATTTCCGTTTTAACGGTTTTGCCCCAAATCCTACCTCCTGGACAACCTTTTTAAACCATCACAGTTTACAATAGCTCTGCGGACCTCTGGACACTTACTCCTTGGAGTGGTGCGGATTTACCACAGGAAAGCCAAGTACCTCATGGCAGACTGCAGTGAAGCTCTGACAAAAATGAAGACAGCCTTTCGCCCGGGTACGTACAGAGCTCTGCATCTTTCACCCGTGTCCTTTACAGCTCTCATTTTCAAAGGTAATTGTGGGTATTCCTGTTAAATACACATTATTGACCCCAAACCTACCAGTGGCCTACTGCTGATGTTTAATTTAATGCCGTTTCAGGTCTTTCACTCCCTTAAAAGAAGCAATATCTTAAGTGGTCTTATTAGGAGAAGCTTCAATTCGGCCTCCATTGTTGGCTAATTGATTTTAATTTCCGATGACACCAGCAGCATTCTAACCGAGTGTTAGTGCCAGACCTGGCAGTGGGTTTTGAACCCTACCCATGAAGCCAGCCAGGAGGGAGCAGACACAGCTGGATCCTTTCCCAGCTGGCTCGATGTTTGTCATTCTTAGGCAGCAAACGAGGAGGCACTGTTGTCTAATAAAAGGCTAACAACAGGACATCAGCATCTATTGTGAGCCCTAATGTGCTTTGTGACCTGGTCTGTTTGCAAATGCCTACCCTACATTATTCTCAAGGACAGGATCATAGGATTGAAGAATTATTTAGGTTGGAAAAGACCTTTGAAATCATTGAGTCCAACTGTTAACCCAGCCCTGCCAAGGCCTCTAAGCACCACATCTACATGTCTTTTAAATACCTCCAGGGTTGGTGACTCTACCACTGCCCTCAGCAGCCTGTTCCAGCGCTTGACAACCCTTTGTGAAGCTTTTTTTCCCCTTAATATCCAGTCTAAACCTCTCCTGGTGCAGCTTGAGGCTGTTTCCTCCTGTACTATTGCTTGTTACTGCCCAGGGATGCTGTCATTCTCCATCAGAAACAGTCAGAAGTGATCTGACTTAGGAACTAACCTTGTTCTGAGCAAAAGATTGCATTAAATGACCTTTGGAAATCCCTTCTCACCTGAATTGTTCCTAGATCCTTCCATTAGTGAGTATTTGCACTCTCACTTCATAATTATTTGATGCTGAAGAGCAGTTCTGCAGGCACTGGAGAGGGAAAGAAAACACAATAATTCATCTGGAGCGGTGTGGAAGACTCCAGGCTAAATGTCAGCTGTGAGGATCTTCCAGGGACTTCAAGTAGCTGTTAATAAACCCCATATATTTACTTTATCTCATGTCTTGTAGCAGCAGACTCTGCTGTATCTGTAAAAGAATATAGTGTCTAAAATATATGTAAAGGAAGGATTTTACCTCCACTTTGGAGTCCTGTTGACACAGGGCCTAAGCTTTGCCCTTCTGTTATTAGAAGAGCAGCAGTCCTTCCTGACAGGTTTATAGTTCCAATACACATATGTGGGAGAGCATTACTTTTACCTTATTGATGCTTACTTTGTGCTGATGTCTGTTCTAGGCCTTGTTGACCTTCCCAAGCAGAACTTTGAGGCTACTTATCAAGCCATTACACTACCTGAAGAGTTTCATGATTTTGAAACACCGCTACCTGACGTAAAGTAAATGCTTCCCTCGGTTTTATTCACTATCTTCAGAAGTAAAAGATACCCTCATGTTATCTGACCGAGATTCAGGTGGAATTGTTTGGCTTTGATACCTGGATTCTCCTAAATGCTGAGTCAGCTTTGTGAGGCTGCAGTTGAGCCCCTCAAAGTCTGTTTAATCGACAGCCCTTTACAATGAAATAACGCATGAACTTAAGAGTTCAGGGTTTCAGATTGCCAGAGTGAAGCCTGCAAACCACTCTCTGACCTCAAGAGAAGGTAGTGTAAATCCTGTTGTAAGAGCAAGGGAGCTCTGGTGAGTAACCTCACCACGTTGTACTGCTCCCTTGTGTAACTGCATTTAATTTCTGGCTCTTTGGGGCTGGTGTGTTCTATGAGCAGCAGTCAGCTTGGCTCCTGATGAAAAGCCAGCACATTTCATTGGCTTTCCTGACACAAATCAGCATTAATGTAGAAACACTGATAGAAAACAGGAGGCCAAGACATGTTGCGATAGCTCTGCTGCCCCCAGAGGTCTGGGATAACGGATTTCTCCTGAGGCTTCCTCTCTACCCCCTCATGAATGCAATTTAATGGGGTCTGTTTAGGATTCCCCAGCTGCCTCCTGGCCAGGGCAGGGTCAGTCCCCACTGTGTGATGTACACTGGAGGCTGCACAGAGCTCTGGCCAGCCCAGGTGGTGGCCTCCTGCTTGCTTGGAGGTACCACTGCTAAAAAACACCCAGCACTTGGCTTCCAAATGCTTATTTTTAGCTTTTAGAGGAAATTTAAAGCTGGGAAATTTCTCCATAAAACTCTAACTGGCTCGACTGCAAATAGCCTTGGGGAAAAAATGTTCTCTCCTTGAGGATCAGCCAGGGTGCTTCCAATGCCACGGAAAACAAGCTGTCTTTGGGGGTTTATGATAAAACATCAGATTGGTGGCTGTTTAGAAGGAAGTTTTCACATTCCAGCCTGATGCTCAGTGCCTCTCAGGTCTCCTTTTATTCTGTGTGATGTTTTTTCCATCAGTGCCATTGACGTTGCTGAACACTTCACCTTGAACCAGAGCAGGCCTGAGGACATCACGCTTGCAGAGGATTACGAGAGCAATTTATTTCTTTGTGACAGAAACTTGGGTGAGAGAAGTTGAGAAATCAGGAATATTTCCTAAGGAAAAGTGTGCTTATGCAAAATTTGGTCCAGCCTATGTCCTTTCCACACGTGAAAAGCTGTTCTTTGTGCTGATTGCTCTGTCATACTGTTATATGCTTAAATTTTTTGTGTAGTAACTCCACCTAAGTAGTATAATGTGATAGCAGAGAATCACTCTGCTTTTTACTGAATTAGCTGCAGGTTGCTTTTTGTTCCGTTTGAGGCATTGGGGCAACTTCCAACCTTTTAAAAATTATGTGAAACGTTAGGAACTGGATAGATACGTGTTTCAAAGATCCCTGAAGATGAAGCATGGAATATCCTGTGTTTCTTCAGATGGCAAACCAGAAGCCCTGAGGAAACAAAGCTTCTTTGATGGCAGCATCTTAACAAGCAGCAACAGTCTTGTCGTGGATTGCTCCATGAGTGTGAAAGGGTCTGCTCTGCGAGAGGAGACCTTCTGTTTTGAGTATGACTGCTTTGGAGACGAGGAGGATGCTGCAGATATGATAGGTAGGTTTGACACAGATAAACAGGATCAGTTTCTTTCCAAACATTTTTATTCTGGCAGGAAAACAAACAGGACAGAGTGAAAGCGATTGCTTTCAAAGAGAAGTTCTGTTGTTTCCTTGTTGAATTCATGCTTCCTTTGCATTCTACTTTGCACTGAATCTGATGTACAACTGACATGAGAATCCATGCCAGACATTGCCAAATAAGAACTTTTTAAAGGTTATATTTCAGGCTTTTAGAATTAAAGGCTTTCCAGTTATAGTTAATGTTGAACCATTTAGTTCATGTTTTTGAAGGTGAAGCACTGCAGCAATTTTATCCTTATTGTAAGAGCAAAGGCAGCAAAGGAGCTTCTACATCTTTATGGCTTAGAGTAGTTACATAAACCTCTTTAGATTTATACCTTTTAAACAATATCAATATAATACTTTTCAGAGCAACAGTGGCAACTCAAAGTGAAGAGTAACCATCTCCTCTTTGCACCCCTGAAAGCCACCATTCCACTGTGGGAGCTGAGCGGGTTTTGTTTGCTGAGGATTAGCCTTAAATAAGTCACATAAGTTTGTATCAGGCTATTTCATGGCTGCTAAGGCTTTGAATGATTAAAACGATGTGTTTTATACATAAGAAATCCTGTTGAGGGACGAGAACACAGGCCTGGGTCAAGACATTCTTGGTATGGAGGAAGAAAACCCTTTGTCCCAAGAGCCACTGGAGAACAGCACAGCCGGTGAGTCTGCAGCTCTTCATCCACCTGCTGCCTCCACAGCAGGAGATCACTTCTGGAGGGGAAGGGAAACTGCCCGAGGGTTTGCTGCAACTTTGAACTTCACCTATGAGTATTTCTGGCTTCGTATTTCAACAAGTGACACTTCAGTCAGATCATCCGGTTGTTGTTTGTCTTCTTTTGGTTTGAGACCAAGACGTTGATTTCTGAAGTGTTTCTGGAAATCTTTTGATGTCTTAAATCCTTCTACCCCCCCCCCCCCCCCCCCCCCCCAGTTTCTTTAACTGTGCAATTACAGACAAAATCATGGTTCTTTAATTCTGATCTTCTTTGTCTGATATCATTCTGTGGTATGAGAGAAGAAACTTTACAAGATGGAATAATTTCTTAAATTTTGGGTTACTTTCTGGGTTTTCTTATAGTTGAGTCCTGCTGTGCAGACACCACCAATAAGGAAGTCAGTCACCTAGTGAGTGAAACCACACTTGTGTTGAAAGAAGATGATGGATTTGTGCTTGAGCCACTTGATGCTGCAGGTCAGAACGTGACCGGTTTCTTGCTGAATGTTTGCATCAACAAGTTCGTGTTGACACTATTATTTAGCATTCTGGAATTCTCCAGCCTGCCAAAACAATATTGGCCATATAACCAATCCCTGGCTTTCTTTCCTGTTTACTACACACATCTTAATCCAGCTGCTAAAGGATTAAACTGACAAATACAGATATTCATTAGGAGGTAATGAAACCTGGTGAGGACATCAGCAGTTCTTGGAATAATTAACTTCCTGATGGATTAGAGAGAGATTATTCAGTCCTGGTGGCATATCATGTGTCCTCATTAAGGTCTCATGTTCCTGGTTCTTTAGTGCTATAGTCATATGTCTTCTGCCATTAAACGTGTGGAGTTCCTGTACAGGAATACAAGGAGTATATGTACGAATACCTTTGAGGAAGTGGCCCATGTGCTTGTACTTTGGTTTTCAAGTCTGTGTGATGTTTTGGGAGGTCGTCAGCCTGTCCGTTTGAGTCCAGTGCCTCTTCCATACCTGAGGGTTCTGTGAATAGGCATTATTTAGACCTTCTCTCTTTTAGCTGTCACCCAGAGGAAGAAGAATAGAAGGAAGAGGAAGTTGTTTGTGGATGTAGACAAGGAACTCACCTGCTATGCCATGTACAACCAACTGAACAACTGCACAGACATCATGGCCACCTTGGACCTCGCCCCCCCAACCAAAAAAACAATGCTGTGGAAGAAATCCGGAGGTGTGGATAAACTCCTGTCCCACACGACACAGCTGCTGCTTCCTGCTAAGCTGCAAATGGTAAAGAGTCTTGTATCACCAGTTAGGTTAGGAGCTCACCCTGAGAGGTTTTTCAGGCTTGGGTTGCTGTGAACTCCTTCCCATGTGTGCGGCACCACTCAAGTCCTGTTTTGCAGTACAGTTGGGTTGGATACGTGATGGTTATTTCCGTGCTCTCAACTGGAGCAGTTGCTCCGTTAGGAAGCCCATCTGTAGAGCTCAGGGCTTTCATCTCCAGCTCCCCATCACCAAGTGAAAGATGACAAAAAACCCATGAGAAGCTGACATTCCATTTCATAGTCGTACAATCACAGAATGGTTTGGGTTGCAAAGGACCTTAAAGATCAAAGCCTCTCCTGTCCTCACGTAGTATCTGTCAGATTGTTCAAAGAAGCTGGTAGTAAGTTTAGAGCTGGTGATAAGATAAAGAAGAGCTAAAGGTGATAATGAGAGGCCTGGTATAAGCCATGTGCAACAGCCTTACTGCAGTGCCTTGTGCTGTGTGGCTTGGTGAGGGCAGGGCAGCAGGGGCTGCAGGCCAGCAGCAGCACTGCAGGTTCACAGCAGCACAGCTTCACCACTCAGAGTCCAGGGACAGAACTACAGCTCACTCTCCCAGGGATGAATGTTACCCCCACACACAGAGCTGCAGATGTTTCTTTCTTTCGTCCTTCCTTACTGGCTGGCTTCAAGGAAAACCGATCCAAGCTGTCCCTAAGATGTTTCTTCATGGAGTTCACTGCAGTGTTGAAGCTGCAGAAAGCTATTATTAAAAAACAAATACAAACATCCAGGTTTTCAGAACGACCTGATTCAAATACCTAAATTCTGGGTTGCAATAACTGATCCACAGCTCAGCTTGATACCTTTGTGTTGGTACTTGCAAATAGTGTGATGTGGTGCTCTGAACGCAAACCAGTGCAAATAATTGCTTGCAGGTCCTTGCAACATGCTTCAAGAGTCACGGATTTAAGATGAGAAGGAAGGAAATACAGAGGGAGTCTGAAACGGAGGAAACAAGAAAAGAGCAAGAGACCACAGGTAATGTTCTAACTCTGCTGTTGCAGAATTAGCTGTTAGAAAATACTCCCTGTTTTAACTAATGTTTAAGAGAATGGGCGCTATTGTACAAAGCAAAGGCCAAAAAAAGTTTAATGTTGAGGAAATTGGCTATTAATTTATTTTTTGTTTTTTATAAGTACTTTGTTGTTCTTTTGTTCCTTAGCTCAGAAATTAAAGTCAAGTCTTTTTCTTCCTTGTGCCATAAGGAGGTATTTTTGGATTCACTTTTGCTTCCCAAATTGTCTACCACACAGCAAATTTGTTTTAAAAAAGAACAAAAGCTTCCCACTTCTTCTGAGTTTAACCAAACCACCCTCCAGATTTCCAAATTCATGTCAATAACATGTATTTGTAACTTGAAGACAGCGGTTGGGTTAATACCAAGCGAGAGGAAATGTCCTATTTCAGATGTGTGGAGGTGATGTATCTGCTTTCACCCCTTTGCTCTGCTAGAAATACAATCTGGGTGTCTGCCTCCGTTCATCGGCACAACCACCTCCTGCAGTGCCTAAAGGTCAACTTCTAGGAAAGGGAAAACTCTCTTGCCAGGTTCTTCTTCTTCCATGGTCTGATTGGGAAGATTTATTCTGTGTTTAGTCCTTCTGGCTCTTGCTCTCAAATATTGCTAATGAGGGTGTGACTGTTGGGTTTCAATGTATTTTGAAGGACAGAGATTGCCAGGAATTGCCTCTTAGACCTTGTTTTTTCATTAATACAGAGATGCTGATAGTAGAAGAGCCAAGTTTCCTGCAGGAGTCAGCTCATTCAGACACTGAGAGAAAAATTAGACATGATTCGTTTATGTTGCCATCAGAGGATAACAGAAATGTAACTGATGATCACTGTGGTGAAACTATAATGAGCAGTTTCCATAAGTTTTAGACACCTAAATGCATTTCTTTGTGGTGTTTTATGCCAGGGTTCCATTCAAAGAATGTGAAGAAGTTCCTACTACTTGTTTGAAGACATGCTAGAGGCAGCTGATAGCTTATTTAGAGGCATAAAAGTTTATTTATAAGCACTTTGGTAGACACAATGAATTAATGATTAATTAAAATGTCTATTAATCAGTATAGATTGCAGTCAGATCACTAATTATACATGAAAGCTAAATGTGAAATACAGCCTCTATACTGCAGAGACCAATCTAATCCTTTTTATAAAGGATAAAACTTACCTCTTGTGTCTCATATTGAGGAAATAAGCAACAACAAATCGCCTCTTTCTGCTGTCTTTACTCAGGCTGAGGTACAAGGGCATTCCTTAGGGACTATGAGGCTTGTTAAAGTTGGAAAAGCATGACAAAATTGGATCTAACTGTAGCAGAACATGTAGGGTCTGTGCCTGAAGCAAGCCTGCGGGTGCAGATCAGCTGTAGGATAAACACTAAAGCAAAGTCCTTTCCTAGTGGGATGTAGTAAAAATGGGGACCATTCCATCATCTTGGCAAACATTTCTTGTAATACATTATTGGAGCAGGATTGTGTTGTTGGGATTTGCACTGTACCCATGAGCTGCAACTCCTGTTGATCACTCTCTGTTCTGACAGCAGGGTGCAGTGGTTTTGTCTGAGAGCTCCTCACTGGTGACCAGCATCCTGGGCCAAGAGGCTGAAACGCAGCAAGTTGAGCTAACAAACGTATGTGTGCCCCAGGCTGACTGCTCTGGCCCGTGTCACGCTCTGTTCTTTCTCAGATAGATTAAAATAGCAGTGATGCCATCATGGCCTTGTTTGGCTGCACTCACATCACCTTTAGCCTTCAGAAGTTAAGCCTGAAGCCTAAACCCAGCTTTTTGAGCAGCTTTTTTGGCCCTGACCACAAATGCTGTCACAACCCAGGCATGCAGAGCGGGGCCATCTCCGCAGTGCTACCATGCACCTGAGCTCCTTGGTAGCAGAAAGAACGCAGTTAGCATTCCTTTCTGTTCCACAAAGCCTTGTGTGACCACAGAGGTGTCAGAGGTTCCAGATATCCTGAGTATGACCACCAAAATGCCCAGTTCCAGCTAGGGTTTTCAGTTAGAACTCTTGTCCTTGTTATCATACACATGCTACCTAACCTTCTCTTCTATTTCCTCTCAAGGAGCTCACAAGGAACAGGAAAGACAGTGAAGAAATCAGATGGAACAAAAGAACTCTCCAGTTCCTAAAAGCCTTACAGGTACCAGTGCTGGATTTTATAATTAGATGCCAAACCCTGGGGTTGATTTCAGTTGGACCCTGTCAGAAATCTCTTCCTTATGGAATCCCACACTGGTCTGGGTTGGAAGGGACCTTAAAGGTTCCAACTCCCTGACACAGGCAGGAGCACCTTCCACTAGGGCAGGTTGCCCCAGGCCCTGTCCAACCTGCCCTTGAACACTTGACCCCATTACTGCTGCTGTGTTTCCTTGGGTATTTACTTGGGAAACCAGGATTCTGAGTGCCTGACATGGTCCAACAGAAGTGTCAGACTATCTCCTCCTTGTAGAATCAAGGAATCGTGGAACGGTTTGGGTTTGAAGAGGGACCTTTCATAGAAGTATAGCCATATAACCCCAAGAAATAACACCACTTGCTTAGCTGAGGCACTGCTTGCCTGTGACAGAGGTGATACCCAGCACCCGGAGAACAGGCAGTGATGAGTTCTATTGGTTTGGATGCTGAAAACCATTTCAGATGTGCTTCACCTGAAAAGCCAGCCTGACTATCCCGCTTTCCTCCCGCAGCACCTGAAGAGATCCGGGGTGAGCTCCTTCAGTTTCCAGGATCTCAGTCGGAAAAACAACCGGAAAGAGGCCGCAGCCAAGTTTTACATCCTGCTGGTGCTGAAGAAGCAGTCGATTGTGGAGCTCAGGCAGAGCGTTCCCTTCACCGACATCACAGCCACCACCGGCCCTATGTTTGATGCTCACTGACCTCGGGTCAGAGCCAGATAAGCCACCAAAACTCAACCTGATTGGTGAATGATTGATTGATTGGTGATTTTCCAGCAGATGGATTCCTGGGGGAAAATGACTGAATGTCTTGTTAAACCATGGAGCCACCTCTGAACTGCCGCCTCACAGGCGTGTGCCGTGTGCCATGATGTGCCACCATGGTTACCAACATGTTCCCTAGCTTGGTTAGTTTTAATATAGCTGGTTTGGTGACAAGCAGTTACTTATTCTGTTAATAAAATACATTAGGGAAGGATTTATGTTGTGAGGGATTTTAGGAAAAGCCCTTAAAAATCCTTTCTGGGAGACAGGATTTGAACTAACACATGTGTTAATTCTCATGCCATCGGTAAGAGAAATCTGCTGACCTCCCTGTATCCAAAATCCACCTATTTGCAATGATTCCTTCCAGAGAAGGGCCGGTGTTTGCTATTTCAAGGCCCAGTGAGGCAGTGCCTCCAGTGTTGTTTCCATGTGTTCAGGCAGGGAGAGGTTACCCAGTCCATGAAAGAGTCGCATAAGCATCAGGACAAACCCTCTCCTCTGCAAATCCTCCAATTTCACGTTCCGTGGAGCATGTTCACTTAAGGATGAACCCTTTGATTTATGTGTAGCCCTATTTAAAAATGGCTGTTAAAGGAAACCTTGTCGTTCTTTGCAGTTGCATCTAATTTAGGATGAGTTTTAACACTTGTACTGCCATGTGGTGGTGTTTTCCAGGCACACTGAACCCGTGCAGGTGGCTGTGGGTACATCCCCTCCTGTTACCATGAAATCAATAAAAACCCGAACATGACATCTCCTGTGCTCCTTGGTGTTTGTGCTCAAAGTTCAAACTGGGATCTCCTTCTCAGAGTCAGTGTTTTGGGGGATTTTCTTACAATTTGGAAGGATGGAGGATGTTGGTGTCCAGGTGGTCCCGGTGTATTTGTGAAGAGCCTGTGCTGGGCCTGGGGCTGGGGCTGGGGCTGTTCCACCTGGATTCTTACTTCTATTTGATAAAATAAGCAGTAAGAAGCCTTTGCTTGCCATGGCTTTACCTCTCTGGCTGTAAGGGAGGGAAAAACAACCCTGTTTGGTAAAATTCTTCCCATTTACTGCAAGAGAAATGGCATTTTCCTTTTCTGATGGGAACGGGAGCGCTGCTCTCCAGAAGTGTCAGGCCAAGACTGCTTGAGGGTGGCGTGCTCCCCTCTCCTCTTCTGGGACTAGTTTGACTTGGGAATCAGGTACCAACCTGGGCTCAGGGAAGGGTTTGGTTCCCTAAATCTGACTCTCAGTGAGTGCATGGCCAAAGGAGGAGCAAAAACCTCCCCCCTGTTCCCCTGCACCAGCCCCAATCCCCACCAGCAGTGTCCAGTGAGCCCCTGTGACACAGAGGGAGGGGAGGGAAGGAGAAATCCTATTATTCTCACCCCAAAGCCATCCGAAATGACTCTGCATCTCCCACCAGCACCGCTGCCACGTGGTAAGAGCAGCTCCAGTGGCAGCAGAGGCGATAACACATTCATTTTCCTTTCAGGGAGAGCAGCTCTGTGCTGGATTCACCAGGAAAGAGGGAAACAAAAGGAGGCTGGAGGCGGGCAGGAAGAGATGAGAGGCAGGAGACGTGTACATGGAAACGAGTCGGTGTGTCGGAATAAATGAGGTGCAGACCTTGCAGGAAATAGGTGGGGAACAGAGTGCAGGTGTTCCCAGAGCAGGTTTGTCAGAACTTGGGAATAATGGAGGGGGAGTGAGGGAGTGTCCCTGTGAGGGCAGGGGGAGCACAGGGCCGTGGCCTCGGCTCCAGCCCCAGACGTGGAGCAGGTTCTGCTCTGACCCCACCAGGGTGTGAACTGCTTCCACCCACAAGCATGTACACAGGGTGTTAGGGACACGTGTGTAACGTGGGCACACATATATGTGCACATCACTGCTCTCCCAGGCTGCAGCCACCCCTGGGTCCTTTCAGCTGCAATAACTGCCAGTCTGGACCAGAGCAGTGAGTGTCCCCCTGCACTGGGCACTGGTGAGGCTGCACCTGCAATCCTGGGTTCAGCTCTGGGCCCCTCACTACAGGAGAGACGCTGAGGTGCTGGAGCAGGGCCAGAGATGGACAGCAGAGCTGGTGCAGGGCCTGGAGCACAGGGGTGATGGGGAAGGGCTGAGGGACCTGGGGGGTTCAGTCTGGAGAAGAGAAGGCTCAGGGGGGACCTGATGGCTCCCTACAACTGCCTGACAGGAGGATGGAGCCAGGAGGGGCTGGGCTCTGCTCCCAAGGGATGGGACAAGAGGAAATGGCCTCAAGCTGCCCCAGGGCAGGTTTAGATGGAGCTGAGGAACAATTCCTGCCCCAGAGGTGCTCAGGCATTGGAACAGGCTGCCCAGGGCAGGGCTGCAGGCACCAGCCCCGCTGGTATTAAAAAGACGTGGATGTGGCACTTGGGGCCATGGGTCAGTGGTGGCCTTGGCAGGGCTGGGTTAACAGTTGGACTCCATGATCTTAAAGGTCTTTCCCAACCTGGTTGATTCCGTTCCGCCTGGTGGCTCGAAGCAGCCTCGCCCTGTGCCTGCTCCTTAGTTTGACAGGTTGACCCTCGACAGCCCCAGGAGGAAACACGCGGTGACCACACCGTGCTCGGGACATCGGACGTGCCGCGGCAGCCGCTGCCAGCCGGGGGAAGCTCCGACTTGTGCTCGGTCCCGCTGGCTGTCGGTGGCAGCGGGAGCGGGGCCCTCGGCCGCCGGTAGGGAGCAGGGAGCAGGGAGCCGGGATCATCGCTCCGGGATTTATGTGGCTGCGCGCAGTGCGTCACTGGGAGCACACGGATGTCCTGTCCTCCCAGTTGGGCCGGTTAGATGAAAACTGCGGCGCTGGGGGCACTCCAAGGGCCGGGGGGCCGCAGCGTGGGGCTCCCCCTTCCTCCTCCTCCCTTTCCTCCTCCTCCTCCGGGGTTACTCGGGGAGAGGAGCGGAGCGCCGGGACCCGCGGGGCTCCGCTGCGGGGAAGGGACCCCCAAAACCGGCTTTTCCTTAAAATTCAGGGTTGTGCATCCCGGCAAAGGGGTGTTGCCATAGAAACGGGGGGGGGGGGGGGAAACCCGGCGGGGGGGGGCGGTGCCGGCGCCGCCGTCGCTTTAAGAGCGCAGAGGAGGGAGGCAAATTACGCAGCTGCAAGGCTCATCCCTCCCTCCATCCCTCCCTCCCCGCTTCCATCCCTCCTTCCCTCCATCCATCCCGCCGCACCCATGGAGGCCGGCGCAGGTGATGGAGGTGGGGGGGGTACCGGGATGGCGGCGGGGGGGGGGGGGGGGGGTCTCCGGTCCGTGCCCCGCTCCGCCGCTCACCGCCAGCTCTTCTCTCCCTTCCCGGCAGGTCGCTGACCCCCCCCCGCCGGCGCTGCCGCCCCGGACATCGGCAGCGGGGCCCGCGCAGGTGAGCGGGGAGCGGGGCGGGGGGGTCCCGCGGGACTCGGCCCCTGCTGGGTGCGGAGCGGGGGGGGGGGCACGGTCTGGGGGTGCTCGGGGCGGGTCGCGCATCGGGCCCGCAGCGCACCCGCATTGCATGCACGGGGCACGCCCACCGGCCCCGCAGTGCATGCACTGGCCCCCATGGCATGCACCGGGCCCGTATCACACTCGCCAGACCCACATCTCATGTACCTGCACCTGCACCATGCACACCGGTCCTGCATCACAGGCACAGGACCCATATTGCAGGCATTAGACCCTCACAGCAGGCACTGGACGTACAGGATGCTCACCAGACCTGCAGAGCACTCGCCAGACCCTCCCTGCATGCTCCAGACCCCCATCCCATGCACCAGACCCTCCCTGCATGTGCCAGACTCGCATCACATGCCCCAGTCTATCTACCCCTGTAGGACCAGACCCTCCCTGCATGCACCAGACTTTCCCTGCATGCGCCAGACCTCCATCACATGCATCAGACTCTTCCTGCATGTACCACATCTCCATCACATGCACCAGAGCCTCCCTGCATGTGCCAGACTCTCCCTGCATGCACCAGACCCACATCTGCTCATGCAGCATCCAGGCATCCCTCCCGGCACCATGGGGCGTTGCAGGAGCCGGAGCTGCTGTGCCATTGAGGTTTCATGATTTAATGGCTTAGTGCTCCATCTCGGAAGGGACCAGGGGAACACACGAGCTGCCTGATGCGCCAGGAGCTCGTTTCTCTCCTCCCCGCAAGGTCAGTGCTGCTGCTCCTGGTTGTTGTACCCAAACCTGCCGCCGCGCACTCGTGGGGCTTATCCCACACCGGGGTCCCTCATTGTGTGACCCCATGTGTGCACTGGGGATGTGGGGCTGCAGAGGTACCTGTGGGGAGGGGTCAGGAGGGGCAATGCCTGTGCCTGAGACGGGAGGTTTGGTGGGGTGACAAAGTAGGCCCAGTGGTGCAGGGAGCCAGGGCTGAGCCACCGTGACCACCGTCATTCCCAGCTCAAGGTGGGTGCTGAGGAGGGAGGCTGCTTCTGCTGCACTGAGACCATGCAAGGGTGCGGAGGGGAGGAGTATCTGCTGTGCTGGGAGCTGGGTTTAGCTCCCATGTTTTTGCCGTCATATCCTGGAGGAGTGGGCTCTTCCTTCTCCTTTACCAGCCCTCAGCTCGGCTCTGCAGCAGAGCACCGGCACGGGGATGGGCTGTGTGGTGTGATCTCATGTGTACCCCCAACCTGGGGTGGGACCGTGGCATCTGCACCCCAGGCATCCTGCTCCTGCTCTGCTGGCAACTGCTGCAGCGCTTGCCATGGAGCTCTGTTCCCTTTGCCTGCAGAGGCCTCCGCAGGGACCAACCTGTTCCCTCTGCTCCAGGTGCTTATTTTTAGCTGCTGAGGGCCAGGAATCGCCACCTCCCACCCTGCGCCACGGCCAGGTCAGCTGGAAAAGCGATGAGCTGCAGAACCCGATCTGTTGGAATGGGCTCTGCTTTCCTGCAAGCTCTGGGTGTCAACTCAGCGCTCTGTAACAAACGAGGGGATAAAGGAGAGGCTCCTGCGGCCCGTTACGTGATGCAACAACTCTGAGCAGCATTGATCTTTCTGGGGCTGTTGCATAAACGTCCTGCGTGGTTTGTCCCTGCCCTGAGCACTCTGCCCTGGTGCGAACTGGAGCATCTCCCTCTGTCCAGGACCCGGGTGAAGCCCTGCTTTGGGATGAGCCCATCCCTGCTGGAGCAGGGAGCAGAGTGCCCGGCTCCTGGGGATTTCGCTGCTCCACTGGAAACTCCCAAGCAGGAGCAAAGCAGCTCCTGTCTCCCAAAATATCCCCTGTGGCAGGAGGAGGAGCCCAGACATCATCACTGTGCACCCGGCAGCGCTCGCCTCCTGCCTCGGATGGTGCCTGTGGTGCCGATGCCCTCCGTCACTGCACCCCGGCTGCTGGATCCTGCTGCTTCCCGCCCCCCAGCTGCATCCCAGCCCCATTCCAAGCACACACCGACCCCGGCACTGCTGGTTTTGCTCTGTCCCAAATGAGGTTGCTGCTGCTCGGTTGCCGCGTTGGGCGCTTTGCTTATTTTTAGTGTGGAGGAAAAGCAATGGGAAGGGCAGGAAGGGCTTTTTGTTCCCTGGGAAAGCGAAGCTGTGGTTTCCCTCCCCCTGTTGCTCTCTGCTTTTAACCTTGTTAGTGCTGGAAGGCTGGATATATCCCACCCAGTGGGGGGGATCTGCAGGGAATGCACCCTTCTTCTCCCGAGCTTTCTGCACCATTGGTGAAGCTGCTTTCAGACGCTTGGGCTCGGTGCCACCGCTGCAAAGTGTTCCTAGCACAGGATGTGCCATGTCATAGAATAGAATCATGGAATGGTTCGGGTTGGAAAGGACCTGAAGATCATCCAGTTCCAGCCCCCTGCCATGGGCAGGGACACCTCACACTAAACCATCTCACCCAAGGCTCTGTCCAACCTGGCCTTGAACGCTGCCAGGGATGGAGCATTCGCAACCTCCCTGGGCAACCCATTCCAGTGCCTCAGCACCCTCACAGGAATGAATTTCCTCCTTAGATCCAATCCAAGGTAAAGGAGAGCAAGCAATCCAAGGAAGTGCAGTGGCTGCTGGGCCCCTGGGTCAGGGCTGACAGAGGGTTCCGTGTGCTCCTCACTGTCCTCTGTGCTCCCCGTGGGTATGGGATGAGCCCTGAACCCTGCAGAGATTGAGCAAAACAAGATGCTTTGGAAGCTCCAGAGCCTGGAGTTGTGAAAGCCTTGAGGAACAAGCTGAGGACCCATCAGAGGTGATGGCGAGGGGGTCCCCTGGCCCTGTGTCCCATGCAGGGGCAATGCCTGCCTGTCCCTGTGTGACCACAGCAGGCACAGAGTGCTCGGAGTGGTTACAACCAATGTCCCAGTGCAGGGCACGGGGACCTCCTCTCCTTGGGGCGAGAGGCTCTGGTGCTCGGTTGTGCTCCATCCCACCCCATTGTGGGTATCAGCTCTTCGTGCTGTAGCTCCATCTGTTTCCTTATCAAGGTCCATCGCTTTTATTTAGTGTGAATCCCCCAGGCTCATTCTGCACAGAATAAGCCCCATTTTGTGCTGCTGTTTTCAAAGGGGCCTCTCTGTGAGCCGGGAGATCCACAGGGAATTTTGCTGCCCTTCCCTGTGAGGGTGCTGAGGCGCTGGCACAGGGTGCCCAGAGAAGCTGTGGCTGCCCCATCCCTGGCAGTGCTCAAGGCCAGGTTGGACACAGGGGCTTGGAGCAAGCTGCTCCAGTGGAAGGGGTCCCTGCCTGTGGCAGGGGTTGGAGCTGGAGGAGCTTTAAGGTCCCTTCCACCCCAAACTCCTCTGGGATCCTACTGGATGGTTTTCAGATGTTAGTGACCTGCTCTTGGTTACCTCCCTGCTTCCTGCCCCTCGGGGCTGCTGTTGTCTTCCTTGCTGGAGAGCGGGCAGCGTGCTCAGGGATGCAGTTGTTCCCCTTGGAATGCTTTCTATTTCCTTTCCATTTGTTTTTCCTGATCCCTGGTCAGTGAACAGCCCCCCCTGCCCATCACCAGGAAAGCAGAGCTCTTCCTCCCTTGATAAGATAACCTTGGATTTCCTCTTGCTCCCTTCGCCCTGCAGCTGCTCATCCCCGTATGTGCCGTAGTGGTCGTTTTAAGGGCAGAGAAGTGATTCCCTCTGTTGTTAGATGCCAGTTAACTGTGTCCCATGTGGAAGGTGCGTTTTCAGTCTGCCCCACTTGCCTGTCCTCAGCAGCCCCAGGCTTTTGGGGAGGCTGAAATGGCCCTTTCATTCTCGAGGAATAAAGACAGTGATGATTTATTTATTACCAGTGGTTAAATTCAAGCTGCCCTGGGGCAGCCTGGGCAGAGCCGGTACCCAGGGAGGTGATGCACAGCTCAGCATCGTTGCGAGAGGGGGACCCGGGCAGGGTGCAGGATGGTGCTGAGCCCTCCATGGGATCTTGGTACCCGCTGGCAGCAGCACGGGGCTGCTCGGGGCTTCCCACCCTAAATCTGGTGCCGCGCGAGGCATCGAGCGTGGGCTCGGGCGCGTCTGCTGCAGTGGGAGGAGGAGGAACTGAGCTCAGCAGGCGTGAGGCCGAATCCTGCTTCCCCACGGAGCTCTTCCCGGCTGCGGATGCTGATGCGGGCGCCTGGGGGGCAGTGTGGGAGCCCCCGGCGTGGGTACCAGCCCCTGTGGTGGATGCACGGGTGCTCTTTGGGTGCTGGCGCTGACCTGGTGTTAATGGAGCAGAGGAGGGAAGGACCCCTTGGCGTGGGGGTGATTGCTGTGACCAGGGAAGGGCAGGAGGCAGCGGGGTACCACGGGGCTTGCGGCTGTGAGAGGAGTTAACCTCCATGGCTGTGAATGTCCTTAAAGCCCTCCTGGGAGCAGGAAAAGCAAGGCAGAGGCTGGCCCTGCTGTGCTGTGCTGCAGCCCTGCGTGGAGCTGCTGGAGGATGCTCCGGGGCCAGCTCAGCTCTGGATGCTGATTCACGCTGCTGCATTAGCAGAGCCCGCAGCCGCCCGGCCGTGCACGCCACGGACCCGGCAGCAGTTGTCTGACAGGGCAGAGCTGTCACCCCCCGGCAAATCCATCCCAGAGAGGAGCAACAGGACCCCCACATCCTGGTGCTGGCACCCCCCCAGTGTGGGGCACTGGGTATGGCAGGGCTGGGCTTCTGTGCTCTGCATCGCTGGGCTCTTCGTGGTTTTGGGGTCAGGGAGTAGTGAATCCTGGGCAGAGGAGAGGCCTGGGCTGGCTCCTCTGGGCTTTGGGCATTAGGCAGGAGGTAGCTGGAGAAAACAGCCCTGGGCTGACAAATGCAAAAGGCTGCGTTGGGGACAGCTCTCTGTGCTCCTCTGCTCCTGTCCCTCTTGTCCTGCCCCTTGTGCTCCCCTGGAGCAGGGCCCAGCAGCACTTGGTGTTTCCAATTGCCCCTCAGTTATGAGCTGGCCGGTCCCATTGCCCGCATTGCTTTGGGCTGGAGCTGCCAGGATGTGGGATAAATACCAGCATTGTGAATGGGATGGGGAGAGCTCAGTGGCATCCTGGCCATCCCTGTGAGCACAGCGGTGCCATGGGATGCTCAGCGGGATGGACGTGCTGAGGGGACGCTTTCGGTAGCTCCCCTCTGCTGCAGCATCCACATCCCACCCCATCCCATCCCATCCCAAGGTGCTGCCTCTTCAAGCAGCTCCAGCTGGTTGCTGCGAGCCTCTGGATGTGGCCTATTTATTTACAGCAAAGGGGCTCTGTGCTTCCCAAGGGATTATCTGCTGCTGCTGCCGCATCACGCCGGATCTGGGCTTCCTCACCCGGTTTCACTGGAGCACGCCTGATTCTGACTCACTTTAGAACAAGCAGGTCCCAGGCTGCTGCAGGGCCCCTGCCTGGGCCAGGGCTGGGGGTCACAGCCCCTCTCCCATCTCTGCTCCGAGAGGTGTCAGCCCTGAGGCACCCTGCATCCCGGATCTCCCTTTGCCTGCAGGGAAAGGGACCTGGGCCAATGGAAAGCTTATCCCGTGCCTGGAGACTGTGGGGAAAGGGGCTCAGACCATGGGTAGGCACCCGTTACGCTTCTGTTTGGCCCTATAAAGTGCTCAGCCTGTGCCCACAGCATCCCCTGCAGGATAGGACCTTGGGCATGCACTATCCCGGCACTACTGGGCCACAGGAGTCAGGCACAGCCCAGATGTGCAGGGGATGCATTCACATCTGTACAGGAGGCTTTGGGGACTAAGCTGGTGCCGTGGTGCAGGGGCCCACCTCTGCTTGGCCCCCGGCTCCCCAGGGCCATTCTTTGCCTTCAGCTCCTCTCTCTGTTGCCTTTCCCCCACAGCTCCCCGTGCCCAGGACCCGCGGTGCCGTGGCCATGTCCCTGCCGGGGAGCCGACGCTCGTCCACGGGATCCCGAAGGTGAATATGGCTCAGGCTCCGGGCGCAGGGAGGGGACGAGCCGATCCCCGCCTCACCACCAGCGGCCACGCTGCAGCACGAGCCCAGCCTGGCTTTGGCACTTCCCTGTGTGTGCACGCAGCCCCCCCGAGCGCTGCATCCCTCCCTGTGCATCCCTGCCGCAGCCGGGCAATGGCAGGCGGTGGCAGAGGGCCCCGGCAGCGGTGCAGGCACTGGGTGAGGCTGGGAGCGGGGTCAGCCCTTGGGCAGCCCCTCCTTGAGCTGCGCTGAGCAAGGACAAGAGGGGGGAAAAGCTTTTATTCCTCTCCAAGCGTCTCCGTGACCTGGGCTGCTGCTGTTCAGGCACTGGGTGCCACCAGCAGCGCTGGCAGGGAGCAAAGGCAGCTCTGCCCACGTGTAGGTGCTGCCCTGCAGCAGCACTTGGGTGCCTTCAGCTCTGCCAGGCTCCCAGGGCCCTCCCGAGGGGCTCCTGCTGTGCTGGGGATGCTGCGCCAGCATCCAGGGGATCGATCCCACACTGGGAGCGGGGAAGCGGGTGGGCATCCCCCCCTCCCCTCAGCCCTGCCTCGTGCCCGTCGCCATGTCCGTGCCATTTTGATCCCTGCTGTTTGTTTTGTCCTCTTGTCTTGTGTGTTCTCGGTGTGGTGGTTGGCAGTCGCGGGGTTTATGGACGGAGTGGCTTTGCCTCCTTCTTTAAGTCTTCAGCGCCCTCAGCCACTCGGCCTGAGACACAGCCTCTTCTCCCTGCCTCCAGGCGCCCCTCGCCCCCGGGAGGGACACCTACGGCACCTCCTCGCTGAGCAGCAGCAGCAATTCTGGCTCCTGCAAGGGCAGCGACAGCAGCCCCACCCCAAGGTAACCCCATCACCCGCGGCCCCCGGGCCGGGGCAGCAGCGCCCGTGCTACCGGTGCCGCTGGGACAGGAGCGCAGGGGCCGGTGGAGCGAGGCTGTGCCAGGGCGGCTGCGGGAGCCGGAGCCGCTGCTGTGTCCCCGTGACCCCCTCATCCTCCTCCAAACCCCTCTGCTGTCATTGTGGTGTCTGCTCCCTCCCTGTCCCCCCGCCTGGCAGCTCAGCACCCGTCCCTTGCTCCTGCCCTGGCTGTGGCTTGCGCGCTGCACGTGTCCCTCCTGCGCTCTGGGGAGCACCCTGGGGCCTTTAGGATCGAAGCCGTGATGGGCAAGAGCTTCGTTTCCATCCCGTCGTGCTCCCGGTGTGCTCCGGGCATGAACAGCCTGGCTCCGAGCTGTGGGATGGGCACTGGCTTGTCCCTGGGCTCTGCTGCTCCTGCCAAGAACCTCCCAGCTCTGAGACGGCATCAAATGTGGGGGGACGTGAGGGGCCTGAGGGTGACCTGGTGACCGGAGCCCACGTGCGCTGCAGCAGGGAGCAGTGGCCATCCTGCTGCCATGGGGTGCTGCAGGGCCAGGGTCCTGCCTGGCTGCTCCTAACGTGATGCTTATGTCTGTGGATGAAGGCTGCCGCCATGCGCAGGGCTTGGGCTGTCCTGCTCTGTGCACAGCGTCCCCACCACCCCGCTGCCATGCACAGGGGCTTTGGGCTACCCTGCAGCAGTGCAGGAGCATCCTGTGCTCAGCCCTCTGCATCTCCCCAGCCCAGTTGTGCAGCCCTCTCCTGGGCTTCAGGCCACAGGCATCACCTCATCCACCCTGGCAGTGGCAAGAGGAGGGTCCAGATGTGCTGCTGGCCCAACCTGGGCAGATGCAGGATGCCCTGACTTGCTGTCCATGGGCAGGACAGCAGCCAGCTCCAGACCTGCTCCATCCCAGACCCACGACCCACCTTCCACCTCCACCCCTGCCAGGGCAGATCCCATCCATCAGCATCCACCATTCCTGGAAAGCTCATTTTGGGCACAGAGACCTCGGTGCTCGCCTGCTCCTGGCTCTCCTCATGCGCCCGCATGAAGCCTGCAGCTCGGCAGCCATGGGCAGCACCAGCGTGGTGGGAGACACCCACCCTGCCCCTCCTGCCCGCAGGGCTCCGTTGGGATGCTCCCCAGCACCCCAAGAGCAGGCATCTCCCTTGGGACCCCCGCGTGAGCCCACGCCGGCACCGGCAGTGGGTGACTCGTGTGTCCCCGCAGGCGCTCGGCCAAGTACAACCTCTGCAGCGACAACCATGGGATAAAGCCGCCGACGCCGGAGCAGTACCTGACCCCGCTGCAGCAGAAGGAGGTGTGCATCCGGCACCTGAAAGCGCGCCTGAAGGACACGCAGGAGCGCCTGCAGGACAGGTGAGGACGGGAGCAGTGGACACGGGTGCCCTGGCACGGGTCCTGGCATTGCCGCCTCCACCAGCAGCTCCTGCATGGCACCGGGACGTTGATGCTTCTGGGCATTCCCAGTTCCCAGCACTGCAGCTTGGCCTTGGGCTCACCGTGGCGCTGCAGGCACGTGGGCGTCCCCATCCAACTGGGATTTGGGGGCCGCAGAGCGCTTAGCTCCCACCTGCAGTGGTTGCTCTGCCCCGTGCCCCTGGTTAAGTCTCTGCTGTATCTGAATGTCAGCATCAGAGGGTGGTTAATCCCCATCTGCTCCTCTCGGGCTTAGGCACGTCCTCGCTGGCGTGCCAGCTGCCATGCACCCACCCGGGGCACCTACCAGAGCATTGCTCCCAAGGGTCCCCGAGCCACTGGATCCATCCCTGGGTCCCAGTGCTGAGCGTTACTGGGTTGACGTGGTTCCAACTCAGTACCGAGCTTGTGAGGCCAGGGCTGGCCCCGCAGCCCGCTCAGCACCATGGCCGTGCCCTCCCCATCTCCCACAGGGATGCCGAGATCGAGGACCTGAAGACGCAGCTCTCGCGGATGCAGGAGGACTGGATCGAGGAGGAATGCCACCGCGTGGAGGCCCAGCTGGCGCTGAAGGAGGCCCGCAAGGAGATCAAGCAGCTGAAGCAGGTCATCGACACGGTGAAGAACAACCTGCTGGAGAAGGACAAAGGGCTCCAGAAGTACTTCGTGGACATCAACATCCAGAACAAGAAGCTGGAGACGCTGCTGCACAGCATGGAGGTGGCGCAGAACGGGGCGCTGAAGGAGGAGGGGGCCGGCGAGTCGGCCGGGGGGTCCCCAGCGCGGTCCCTCACCCGCAGCTCCACGTACACCAAGCTGAGCGACCAGGGGGCCGGGGACCGCAACGTGGGGGGCTCACAAACCATCTCGGTGGACGAGGGGGCCGACAGCGGCTTCATGGGCATGGAGGATGCTCCGGGACACACGGACCCGCTGGAGATGGGGGCTGAGCCCGGCCCCCGCCTGCCCCCCAGCTCCACCTACGAGAAGCTGCTGCGGGGCAGCGCGGAGGCCGGGGTGCAGGCGAGCTGCATGCAGGAACGGGCCATCCAGACGGACTTCGTGCCCTGCCAGCCCGACCTGGACGCCATCCTGGAGAAGGTGATCAAGTCCCAAGCCTGCAGCTTGGGCAGCCCCACCTCGGCCTGGGTGTCCGAGATGGAAGACACGATGCCCGTCCCCGAGCTCTCCAACCCCACCACGGACCTGCTGGTGGCCGAGCCCGACGCCGCGGTGATGGGTGCCGGCGGCGAGGGGGGGCCCGTCCCCTGCCCCAACCCGGCCGTGCGCCAGCCCCCCAGCGCCTCGGTGGCCATCGCCTGCGCGGCGGAGGAGGAGCCCTCGGAGGTGCCCGGCTGCGAGGGGCCCCCGTCCAAGAGCTACTGGAGCCGCCACTTCATCGTGGATCTGCTGGCCGTGGTGGTGCCGGCCGTGCCCACGGTGGCCTGGCTGTGCCGCTCGCAGCGCCGGCAGGGCCAGCCCATCTACAACATCAGCTCCCTGCTGCGCGGCTGCTGCACCGTCGCCCTCCACTCCATCCGCAGGATGGGCTGTCGCCCCGTCGCCAGCCCCGGCGGCAGCGCCCAGCCCTGATCCAACCCCCCCAGAACCCCCCGACCGCCCCCAAGGACCTGACCGCTGATTGTAAAGCCCCAGCGTGTCCCTGCTCCCTGCAGGGATGCGGCCCTGGGGGTGGGAAGGGGATGGGGGGGAGTCTGTGGGTGCATTGGGGTGCGCTGTCAACCCCCCACCACCACCAGCCCGCATCCTTTGTCCTGGATGGGGGAAGGATGGTGCTGGGACAGAGGTGCCAAGTGGCTCTGCGGGATGTGGCGCCCACATCACCCTGCCCTATGGACCCTCTGCTGCTGGCTGGGGGAGGCTGCACCCATGGGTGGGCTCTCCCATCGCTGCACGTGCTTTTCGGTTGTCCTTGCCCTGCCCCAGGCTGGGCGATGGCAGCGAACCCGAGGGGTGTCTGGGGGGTGCGGTGGGACCCTCCGGGTGCATTTCCTGCTCCAGATGCAGGTCGCACCACGACAGCGAAGTCTGGCTGTGGGCAGGAGGCTGGGGGGGACCTGCCCGGACACAGAGACCAGCGCTGGAGGTGGTGGAGCCCATGGGGCACCTTCACCCGGGCCTGGTGTCCATCCTCCTCCCCTGGCCGGGACGGGGCTCCCCTATTGCATCCCTGACCCAGGGGGAGCCCGGCTCCCTCCCTCCCCCTGCTTTGCACTACATTCACTTTGGTTTGGGTACAGACTGGAGCCCAGGGGCTGGGCTCTGCCCTCCGTGGAGCTGGACCAGAGGGCTCCGGTGGTTTTGGCACTGGTGATCCCCGTGCTGGAGCTGGGGCTGCAGTGAGGGATGCGGGCAGGGGCCGAGCGCCTTTGCCTGCTCCAGCCCCATCCCCGCTTTGCTGGTGGGCTCTGGAACAACAAAATGCCTTGTCTTTCCCTTTGGAGCGGCGGCGATTGCTCAGCGGGGGCCGGCGGGACGCGAGACTTGGGCTCCCCCCCATGAATGTCAGTGGGTTCTTCGTGACTTGAACTAACAGTGTTCCCCCCCCGCCCCAAACCCCACTCCACCGCCCATGGAGCAGCGATGCCCCGACAGCGGCGCTCCCACGGGACACAGGCCCCGTCCCGTGCTCCCTGTGCTCCCCATGGCCCCGCTGTGGCTCTGCCGCGGTGGGGATGCAGCTCCCGGTGCCGGGTGATGGATGGGGGAGCCGGGGGCGGGCGCTGGGGCATGGGCCTCTCGTGCAATGTGTTTGTGGCTGTGTGTTCGCGTCTGTCCGACTGCCCAAAGCTTTGCCAAGAAATAAATGTAATGATTATATTTGAAAGACAAATCTATATTATATATTTTTTAAATACAGAACTGACAAAGCTGTAACACCCCCCCCCCATCCTGTACTCGCTCTCTGTTGGTGGATGTAATAAACGTCACTGGGTCTGTGTCTGCTTTGGCTGGAGCCAGCCTTTGGCGTCTGCCCCAGGACATGGGGATGTGCATTCCCCATCCCTGCCGATGTGAGGGAGGAGAGGACGGCACGGGCTGGAGGTGCCACCGGTGGCTGCAGGGATGAGGGACTCCTTTGGGGATGCTGTGGGGTACCTTCAGCAGCCCATGAGGCTTCCAGCAGCGAAGTCCTCACAGGTCAGGGATGGAGTGGTCCATGCTCGACTTCACCACCCCTGGTGAGAGCCTGGGCACAGGGAATGGGTACTTAGTAGGGAGAGGCACCCTTGGGCACCCCAGTGGGGTTGGGGCGGGCACCATGGCCCCATGGCCTCACCGTTTCACCATGTGCTCGTAGATCACAGTGGGGATGATGGTCAGCGTGACCACGTTCCCGGCCCCCGCCAGCACCTCCATGAGCTGCTTATCCTGCAGGAGAGAGCGGTGGCTCCATGGGGTGCCCCCATCCCATGGGATGCTCCTGACGGCACCGTGGCTGTGCAGCCCCTACCTTCATGCCGATGACATTCTGGCCGTTCACCTCGCAGATGTAGTGATGGGTCAGGAGCCCGTTGCGAGCAGCGGAGCTGTCCTTGGCCAGGGACACGATTTTCCCCTTCTTCACCACGATGCCGACGTGGCCGGTGCTGTCCTTGTGCACGGTGACCGTGCGCTGGAACGGCCTGCGGGGAGAACCGGGATCAGCACCGGGATCAGCACCGGGATCAGCACCTCCGGCACCAGCACTCACCGGTCCCGCACCACCATCACGATCTTCTCGGGGTTCGCCTTCTTCAGCGCCCGCTGCGCCTTGGCACTGCTCCAGCCCGCGCAGCTCCTGCCGTCCATCTGCAGGATCTGGTCCCCGAAGCGCAGCCCCACCAGCGCCGCTGGCGAGTTGGCCTTCACCAGCTGCACGAAGATGCCCTGGGGACAGGGGGGAGTGATGGCACCACGCTGGCAGGTACCGTGCCATGGCCCACGCCGGGCTGGGCTGCACCGGGCTGGCACAGGGTGCCCAGAGAAGCTGTGGCTGCCCCATCCCTGGCAGTGTTCAAGGCCAGGTTGGACACAGGGGCTTGCTGTGGAAGAGGTCCCTGCCCGCGGCAGGGGTTGGAGCTGGAGGAGCTTCAAGCTCCCTTCAACCCAACCCATTCTGTGATGCTGCGGTTCTATGCTGTGCCATTTACCAGCACACATTGCCACGCCATGGTGCACCGGGCCCTGTCACATCCACCGTGCCGGGATGCCCCATCCCGTGCCCAGCCCTCACCTGGTCGACGTTCTTGAGCTGCAGCCCTGTCTTGCCCCGCTCGTCCTTGCAGAGGTGAAGCTCCCGCACGCCCGGTTTGATCTCCGCCCGCCGCAGCCCCGCGCTGCTCCCGCTCAGGGGGGCCACCACCTGCCCCGGGGGGGGCCCGCTGGGGGTCAGGGCCTGCGATGGAGCCGGGGGTCAAGGGTGGGAGCAGCCCTCGGGGGATGCCGCATCCCAGCCGGGGCCGGATGAGCTGCAGCGGGGGGGGGGAAGCGCCCAGCAGCGATGCTGCGGCACGGGGGCACCTACGGAGCCGCTGCCTTCCGGGAGCAGGTTCTTCTGGATCTCCTCGCTGCACAGGGCCAGCCCCATGTAGTTCTCCAGCTCGGCCAGGTTCGGGTACAGCACGGGCAGCGCTGCGGGGGCACGGGGGGGGCCTCAGGGAGGGTGGTTCCCACCCCACAGCCATTGCCTCCCTGCCTGGAACCCCCCCCAGCCTCCATCCCCTGCCCATGCAGTGGGATGTGAGGGGTCTCAGCTGAGCCCCCCCCCCCCACAGTAACCATTGTGTTCCCCCCCCCGGGCAGGGAGAGCCGGTCCCAACCCGCGTTACCGGGGTCTGAGCTGAGCTTTGGCTTCTCCGTGACCACGGTCGTGGGGGGGGTCCTCACCCCGGCTGCTGCCTGCGCCTGCAGAGAGATGGGGCTTGCTTGAGGCGCTGCCCTCCCACCCCACCCGGGGACCCTCCGAGAGGAGGGGGGCACCCATCGGGGCCAGCTCCCCCCCCCCCAACGCTGCTGCGCCAGCACTGACCTGCAGGAGCTGGTGGCCCTTCATGTCCTCGAGGGAGGGGTAAAGCGTGGCCATGGCTGCCGGGGCCGTGCCTGGGGATGGGGACGCAGGGATCAGGGATGGGGACGCAGGGATCAGGGATGGGGACGCAGGGATCAGGGATGGGGATGCAGGGATCAGGGGTGGGAGCCTCTGCCCCGCCTGGCTCCGTGTGCCCGGTCCCGTGTGCCGGACACGGGCTCTCAGCCGCAGCCTCCGCAGTGACTCAGAGCCGGTTCACCGGGGCCACCGGATCCACCACTTCCTGGTGGCTGGGACACGGGCACCGGCACCATGGGCTCTGCTTGGCTGCCAGCGGGTCCTGCTCCCCACATCCCCCCGTCCAATGGGGCCATTCCAGCATCACCCAGACCCAGCAGTGGGGTACCCCATGGAAACAGCCCCCTGACCCCCCCATCAGTCCCCTCTGCCCCCCCACCCCGTGCACCTCACACCGTGCCCACGGCAAGGCAGTGCCTCAAAGCACAGCACCCAAACCCAGGGTGGGGGGGCTGAATCCTGACCCAGCTCTGAGCACTGCAGAGCCCAGCTGGCTCTGGGCACACACAGCACAGGGCCCACAGCAGCAGCCCCCCAAACCCCAGCCTGGCAGCCCCGGACTCACCTGCAGCAGCTCCTGGCTCCCTCTGCCACCCTGTGCCCGGCCCCGGGCACTTATAGCTGTGCCCAGCCCAGGGAGGGGCCCGGGCACTCAGCTGACTGGCACCCCAGGTAGGGCACAGGGGAGGAAGAGGAAGGTGAAGGCAACGCTGTGCAGGGATGGGGACAGGGATGGGGATGGTTTTCAGTGGGTTTGGGCATCCTGGGGGAGCAGGGATGGGGCTGTGGAACCCCATTCCCATTGCATCACCCATCCTGCCCACAGCAACACACGGCCCCATCAGAGCTCAGTGCCTCAGACCAAGGAACAAGGGTGATGTTGGGGTGTGAAGTGGGGTCCCAAGGGCGATGACACCAGGGGGTGAAAGGGGGGTCCCCACCATGAGCATCCCTGTGCAGGGGCTGGCTCCTTGCTCCTGGGCACATGGTGCTGACGCAGCTGTGATGTGGCACCGTGTCCCGCACCCTTCCATCCATCACGTGCTGGGTGTGACGGCCCCGTGGCAGTCCTGATGGAGCAACCGAGTGAGTGTGGAGCTCATGGGATGCACACGGGGATCCCGCTGCCATGGGACATCACCCATGGGATCCAGCCCTCGGCATCCCGCTGCCATGGGACATCACTGCATCACCTTGGGGTCCAGCCCTCGGCATCCCGCTGCCATGGGACATCACTGCATCACTTTCAGGTCCAGCCCTCGGCATCCTGCTGCCATGGGACATCACTGCATCACTTTCAGGTCCAGCCCTCGGCATCCCGCTGCCATGGGACATCACTGCATCACCTTGAGGTCCAGCCCTCAGCATCCCGCTGCCAGCACCAGGGATGCCACTGACCACGCTGTCCTCAGGAGCTGGGTCCCACAGGCATCCAGCCAGGCTCAGCACCAGTGGCACCAGCCCAGGACGTGCCAGCAAGGCGCCAGTCCCCCCATGGAGCAGCAGCCGGGCGCATCCCAGCTCCGCTGCCGCGTGCCGGCCCTGGAGGAAGTGCTCCATTTACTGCTGTTATATTTAGCCCAGGACAGGAGCAGCCCCAGCGCCACAGCCCAGAGCAGGGAGAGCTCCTGCAGCAGCCGGAGCAGGGGGGTTCCTGTCCCCCCAACCCCTCATCCCCATAGAAACGGAGCTGGAAGGACCCCAAGGTCACTGGGGGCTGATTCCCAGCCGGAGCCATGGCACTGCCTGGCACCAGTTCATACTCAAAGCTTTGCCAGAAGAGAAACCCAGCCTGGCTGCGAGCTTCCACCCAGCAGTGGTTGCAGTGAAGGGCACGGTGCTGGTGCCCCCCCAGCTCCTGTGCTGCTGACCCGAGCAGCAAGGAAGGGCAGTGTCCCGGCTGCATGGCCCCCATCCCTCGTGTCGCTGTTCGAGCACCGCTGCTCCCGGCTCCAATCCGGCTTTTCCACCCTTAAACACAAACTTTGCTCCCGACAAAGCCGCTCCGGAGGTGCCGTTATTGATCGTGGCCAATGGAGCAAAGGCCGTGTGGGGAGGGGCCGGGAGCTGGCACCCAGCAGCACCCCCATTGGGAGACACAGAACCGCCACCAGCAGCCGGGGAGCAGCACAGAGCACAGGAGCCCCACGGATGGGGAGGCCGTGGGGAAAGGCACCAAAATAACCCCTGAGAGGCTTCCCTGGCCTGCAGGTCCCGGCTGCCGGGGGTTCCGTGTCCCCCATTGCCGTGTCCAGCCCCCCGAAAGGACCAAAGTGAATGCCCAGGGCTGGATCCATGTGCTGCTCCGGAGCTGGACGGACCCTGGAGCATCGTCATCCACACTCCATGCACTCCATGCTCCGGCACGGGCTGAGTCACAGCCACGAGGGCGACAGGCTGCGTGGATAGGTTGTGGTGAAGCAATTGATGGCTCAGATTCCAAGAGGCCTCCATCACCTCCCCATTGAGCCCAGTGAGCCCCGGGCACCGCTTGGTGCTCCCAGGGCTGAGCACCGGAGCCTCACACCACCAAAGCCATCCAGCACAGCCAGAGGCAGAGCCTTTCCTGCTGCCGTGGCACTGGGTGAGCCCAGCACGGCACCCCCACCACCGGGAGCCCACCATGGAGCCCTGGTACATGCACTGCACCCTGTAAGCCTGGCATGGAACTCTGGGATGGCACCCACAGCATCCGTGAGCCCAGCACAGCACCCACGAACCCAGCACAGCACCCACAGCATCCTGTGAGCCCAGCATGGACCCACGAACCTGCCATGAACCCTAGCACAGCACCCACAGCACCCATGAGCACAGCATCCACAGCATCCTGTGAGCCCAGCACGGCACCCACGAAACTGCCATGAACCCTAGCACAGCACCCACGAGCCTAGCACAGCACCCACGAGCCCAGCATGGCACCCATGAACTTGCCATGAACCCTAGTACAGCATCCACAGCACCCACGAGCCCAGCACAGCACCCACAGCATCCTGTGAGCCCAGCATGGCACCCACGAATCTGCCATGAACCCTAGCACAGCACCCACAGCACCCACGAGCCCAGCATGGCACCCACGAACCTGCCATGAACCCTAGTACAGCATCCACAGCACCCACGAGCACAGCACAGAACCCACAGCATCCACGAGCCCAGCATGGCACCCACGAAACTGCCATGAACCCTAGCACAGCACCCACAGCACCCATGAGCACAGCATCCACAGCATCCTGTGAGCCCAGCACGGCACCCACGAAACTGCCATGAACCCTAGCACAGCACCCACAGCACCCACGAGCCCAGCACGGCACCCATGAACTTGCCATGAACCCTAGCACAGCACCCACAGCACCCACGAGCCCAGCACGGCACCCACGAACCTGCCATGAACCCTAGTACAGCATCCACAGCACCCACGAGCACAGCACAGAACCCACAGCATCCACGAGCCCAGCATGGCACCCACGAAACTGCCATGAACCCTAGCACAGCACCCACAGCACCCATGAGCACAGCATCCACAGCATCCTGTGAGCCGAGCATGGCACCCACGAAACTGCCATGAACCCTAGCACAGCACCCACGAGCCCAGCACAGCACCCACAGCACCCACGAGCCCAGCACAGCACCCACAGCACCCCACAAACCTGCCATGAACCCTAGCACAGCACCCAGAGCATCTCCTCCGCGTGGCACGGAACAGCACCCACAGCACCCACGAGCCCAGCACAGCACCCACAGCACCCACGAGCCCAGCATGGCACCCACAGCACCCACGAGCCCAGCACAGCACCCACAGCACCCACGAGCCCAGCACAGCACCCACGAGCCCAGCACAGCACCCACAGCACCCCACGAACCTGCCATGAACCCTAGCACAGCACGCAGAGCATCTCCTCCGCGTGGCAGGGAACAGCAGCCGCAGCACGCCGCGGCCCCACTGCGCTGAGCGGCGGCAGAGGCGAGGGAAGGACCCGCAGGACACGGCGCTCAGAAAAGCCAGCAGAAAGCGGTTTTATTGCAAGAATCCAAGTGGGCACCGCCGCGGGCAGCGGGCAGCGGGCAGGGCTCCCAGCGCATCACCGGGCAGGGGCAGGAGCGGAGCAGCGGGAAGCTTCGCATCGCATGGGAGCAGGCAAGCGGCGATGAGCAGCATCAGGCGGAGAACGGCCCCAGCGTGCTCAGAGCGGGCACCACCGGGGCTGGGGGGACGGGACACACACACAGAGGGTTCGGGGCGTCCCCACCACCTCCCCTGCAGGCAGCAGCACCTTCCCTTTGCTCTTCTCCTTTAAGCTCAATGCAAGCTCTGAAGGTTCAGCCTGCGGAGGAGCAATGATGGAAACCCAACCTGAAAGCGGGCTGAGGCGCAGGAGGAAGGTTCCCCATGGGGTGGCCGAGGGGAGCAGAGCATCCCCACGGTGTCCTCTCCTGTCCCTCGCTGCCCTGGGTCCTGGCAGGGACCTAACACACAATCCCAGCACCGCTTTGCTCCCCGCATCCATTCGGCCTCGACAGCCTCCCTCTGCTATATGGCTTTCGCAGCAGCAGCAACTTCTGGTTTGAAACCACCACGAGACCTGCAGCACAACGAGGATCTACCGGGTTTCCTGGGGTTCAAATGACTCCTAGCTAAGGGCAGCCCATCTGCGTGCTACTGGGAAAACGTGGGCTACACCTGGAACAGAAAGGTGAAGAACTTGACCCAACAAAAAAAGGAGTTGAGGTTTACGGCGTAGAGTTTAAAAAGACATAAAACCACGATACAAGGAGGAAGAGTCGGACGCAAAGCTCGGTGACCAAAGGCATTCAATCAAGGTGTAAGGTTATACAATGTGTAGTGGGCTATCAGGAAAAGCTCCGTACAAAGTCATGTGCACTCGTCTTGAAGCTGAGGTTCTGGGTTCCTCCATGTGCCAAACCTGCTGGGAGAGAGGAGGGGAGCTCAGGTCAGGCTCCGGGGATGGAGCCGCCATCCCGAAGTGCACCGGGAA